GGAAGTAACCCCCGGATCATCTCAACCTGTGTACACCCCTAATAACCTCGCACGTGAGATACCGGTTTCAATCACGTCGTCGACGATTCTGCGGGATATCTACTTCCTCCTTCCCTCGCCCTTCGACGTCTTTCGAGAATTCGATCATTCTTGAAGGCACAGCCCACAGTTAAATCTCCTGTCAGGCACAGTCACATATAGAAAAATCCATCCGCACGTGACCGTGGAGACGTGTCCACTGGTGCCTTTCACGAAAATTCTCCCTCGATCAACTGGCCCCCTACGTGAGCACTGTCTTTACTGCGAACTTTCTAACACAAGCACTCACAGCGATGGCCTTCACTCAAGAACAGGCAGTCTTTCAACCTTTTTATCAGCGGTGAGCCTTTATCACCTATTTGTAACATTAGATTTAACAGATGTATAGGTCAAAGACGGAGAAACCACTGAAAAAGATTCATCAGGAATTCATGGGGTTCAAACAAACCTATGACACATCAAAGTCACCAACACCTCGAGACCGCATTGATCGCTTCACTAGGCTGTCAACTGTAGTGAGCGACTCAGTTCAACTCCCACCCGACGACACCATCGAGCCAAATGGATGCCTCCATGACGAAGTCTCAAGGTCCTTGAAGGGACTGAATGTCGAGAAACATCCATACGGTCGTCGCTCTGCGCAGAAGCTTACCAAACGGTACTTAGTTGAGTGTAGAGCTAAAAAGGAAAGTTTACAGTCCATCCCTTTTTACCTAGGCTAACATAAATCCTGGTCTGCAGGCCGAAATGTTACGTGGCTACTGGATCGAAGAGCCTTCCTGCCCGAGCTCCCCTCGCAGGGTGTAGGAAGAGCAGTTGTGGGCCGTATTAGCCCATCCCCTGCAAAGTGCGACTCCCCGTCGACATATCCTTGCAATCTTCATAGGGTAATAGAAAAGGTGGACCCCAAAGGGTGGGTATTCGTTCCTGGCTCGGAGGATTAGTGGTGGTGTATTGCAAAAAGGGCGAACGTTCAGGATGGCAGTGAAGGCGGTTGGAAGCCGCTTCCCAGCTACCTGTAGAGCCGATCTTTGACATGAGGACTGTCCACCCTGGCTGGGTTTTGCAACACTTCACTTGCAGCCCTTTTCTTGGGCAGGGCCATTCCATTCTGCAGCCGCTGGCGTTTACTGCATGCGCTATTTACCAATGTCATTTACGGATGCTTCAATCCGCCAACTCGGTCAGTGTCAATATAAATCAGACAGATAGGCTGGATGCAGGGTTGGCGTTTTCGCAGAACTCCTGCCTATCTCCGTCCACTTGCCCAGCTTGCTAAATACCTACACTGGCCAATATACGGTGAACTCTTGGATTCCTGATATCCGATCTCAATCTTGACAAAGAACCTGAACAACATCTGAAGACTATCCTCAGTGGAGAAAGATCGTATCTCGTGGTCGCCCATTGCGCCGAGTCGTCGAAAATGAATCCCTATTCTTTCCACGGAAATTGATCCGACGCGATCTTGAGCTGGGGAACTGTCCAGTTCCTGAAATCATTCTTCATCCACGGCCCAAGGACTTGCAGAACTTCCCCCTTTAGTTCCTCAAATGCATCCCCAATCTCCTTCACGGTATGCATATTTTCCGCCCTAAATAGGTTGAGATCTCGAATTTCTTCGTCGTCTTCAGACCAACCTAACAAAGCTTGATATAACTCGATCTCGAGCCTATCATCAACCAGACCAATTGAATCAAGAATTTGAGCCGCCCCACAGCGATCAAAAAGTTCGGTGACTGTCGCGATACTGCCGAGCTCTCGCAGGCCTTCCAGGGCTTCGACACTAGAAGGCCAGTGGGGAAGTACCCGTTGTGCGAGGAACCTGGAATATCCACCCCAGACAACGAAGTGCGCCATAGTCCGAGTGTGACCTAGGGAAGACAATTCGCGATAGACTTCTTGCCGACGTCCAAGAAATTGCTGCGACTGGTGTTCACACATCTTTATGAGATTGTGACTTAAATCCCCCTTTTTTTTTGCAAGCGGCCACCGAGATACAATAACTTCGAGAGCTTTTGTGAACCCGTTTTCATCTTCCACTTTTTGGGAAGCTTTCAAAGCCAGAACGGGATCTTCCGAGAGGAAGCCATTGATCAATGGGACCAATGTGGATCTGACGTTTGGAATGCATTCGTACTCTTTGGCTACTTGAGCCAGGATATATATCTGCTGGTTTGAGAGGTTTGCTGGATATTGGTGATATAGAAGCTCCAGCAATAGATATATGTGATTTGCCAGCTCGATGGGCTCATTGTTAGGCCGCACATCCTAAGATTGTCAGAACTCGTTTTGACTAGGTTTAATACACACAACTATACCTCATCAACAGGAATTAGCTTTCCGTCAATAATACAAAAGAATCCGGTCCATCGCTCTTCAGGGATAGAATCGAAGTACCGCGATTTGCATTTTAGATCCTCCTTCCGCATTCGGAGGTCGTCAGGAATGCTTGAGAGCCGAATGACGGTATCACTCCCCGGACAGGAACATACGGGAAAATGTAGACACGTCCTTTCAAGTTTTGCACGGTGTGCAACTTGACGGGGAATAGCTTTGCGTTTTCTTTTGTACCCCATGGCAAGTAGCTGTTGAACGAGACGATTTCGCAGAGCCAAAATTCAGTTGAAGGAGGTGATAAGATTTGAAGTGGGGCTATAGGATTGTCGCGCAGAGCAATTCCTTTTATCGCAGCATACCAAAGGACGAAAATTCAGTGGCTGGCAGCCTCACCGAGGGGCATTCATACACAAAAAGGATAAACATATTGGTTGGGGTCGCTGCTTGGTTAGCATACGGAGCCACTTACACAGCCAATCAGGCGGGGTGGGAGAGGCCCCTTCGAAACCGAGTTGTGAACACACGGATCCACGTGTGCCAATAACCTGTCAAAGGGTGAATGTCTCTGTCTAGTTAACACGTCCATGTTACTAGCTCAAACGGAAAGAACGTCTTCCAGCCAACCAATCAAGGTCTACTAGGACCAATAATGCTACAGTAACGGCGTCACCTCATCTCCCAGCCCCCGATAGCCTCCAGTTTCTTGAGGGGACAGTCCTCAGAACTATCTACGCGCCCGTGGATTATGAAACAGCAAGGGGTGGATGCCGAGACGAAAGCCTTAAGGAAATGGATACTTCCAGACAATCTGTATACACTTTCGACTTTGGTAAGGAGCGCGGTCTTGTCTTCGAAGCTTCGCCCTAAGAGCCGCTCTAAAACCCGCATTTGTTGGAGGTAGTGGTTTAGAGAAGTTACGGAATCTTGTGCGAGATGACTTTCGTACACTTCACTCAACGCTGCGTGTGCCTTACATCTGAGAAGGAGCAATTCTCGGATAATCGACGGCTAAGTAAACTAAGCGCTGGTATCAGAGAGTTTAGATGCCACTCACCACATGGAGTTTAATCATGATATTCAGTAGTCCAGTATAGTCAGTAGTGACTTTCAGGTGCCTATAAAACACGTGGAGCTCAAAGTCTTTCTCGCCTCTGCTTATCCGGCCGACTTTGAGTTGAACATAAGGGTTGTTAGCGTCTTGAGGTCGGAAGATTTTGAAAGTAGCGGCATCGTCTTCACCAGCTCCCAGCCAATCCATTGGTGGTGTGAGAATATTCTCTCCGCGCTGTATGAAAGTAAAATTGACTCTGTTTGAGAACTGCCGATTGTATTCTTCCTGAACCACGTCTCGTCCGGGGAGCATTGGTAGCGCAAAAATCCCCAAGTATTTTGAGATCAAATAATGTTTCTGCAGTGCCAATATACGAGAATGCAACTGTATCTGAGTCTTCTGCTGACATTCTGATTCGAGTTGCTTCTTGTGGATATCCAAAACTCCAGTCGTTTTGTAGAGAGGGAGAAAATAAAAAATTTTACATAATGAAGATAGTACCACATCTCCGTGGTTCAGATGAAGTCCTCAGCAGTGTGCAGTGTCAGGTACCGAAATTGGTGGTCACAGTGCGGTTTCCCGCCATGGTTAGACTGTATCACACGTGATCAAGCCCCCATGGTCCATGCGATGTGAAAAGGCCCTCCAAAATTCGTGGTACACAGTTCCAAACCGCTTCGCCCTTAGTGCGACAGGGGTTATTGGTCTTCCTTCTCTGGTAGAACCTCATAAAATGGTGGTTTTATGACGCTATTTTAGGTGATAATTCTGAAGTGGTCGTCGGCAGTCATTCTCCGGTGGTCGACCGTTTCACATTTTCTCCCTTGGTCTTCAACCAAGGAGGCATAATGATAACTCAAAACGGAGCTGGGCGCTTACAGCAGCGAATGGTGCACAGGCTGTATCATCTGGTGAGTCTTCCAGCCCGCTCGGCAACATTGCGGTCTGAGAATGACATTACTGTACGATTACCGGACACATTCATGCCATCTGTTGTTACGATACTTCTGGTGCCTCGACGCCTAGACCTTCTTTACCTCGTCCACTTGCCTTTGTGCTTCTTCTTGGTTCCCTTGTTTCGCCTCTTTCTATAATGATCTATGTCTTGGAGCTTGAAGCGGAGTGTGATCTCAGGTTGGCCGACTCGTAGTCGCACACAAGCGCCACTCTGTCGCAGGTAGACGGTGTGTTAATAAAAGGACTGGAGATTATGCTTCGACCATTGGTGACCCCGATCGGAAATATCGAGGCGAACGAAGTATGGCCAGTGGCTGTTTCATGTTGGGAATCGCTGGGCACCATATTCGAGGATACATATCGTCAACTTCTCTTCCGCTTTAGTGCCAGACCTACCCACCGACTTCCAAGGGTGGTCGCCATTGCGGTCGCTGCGCAGGCAACACCGATGACTAGCCTCTCAACCAGTTAGACCGCACGTCAGTCTGCCCAGACGGGCTACACGGTGGTCGCCATAACGGTCGCCGCAGACAACAACGGTGACCAGCCTCTCAACCGATGAGGCATTTAATGGCTTTCAAACAGGCTTTCGCTCAGTGGTCTTCCAAAACATATGGCCAGGCCTTCCAAGAGATATTCTAGCTCCAAATTGAAAACCCGTGGAAAGAGTCATTCCGCTACGAAGGACGAAAAGAAAGCGAAGGCACAATATGAGCAAGCAAGACGTCGCCAGTGGTGCGTAGTGAAGAAAGTTGATGAACTGCACACACTATGCAAGAAGAAGTACTTTCCCCTCATTGTCGATGACCATCGAGCCGACTACGTCAGCTCTGAGAACATTTCAGAGGAATGGCCGTATTCAATGAAAGCTACGACATACCTCGAGATTGGCTAGCACCTGCCAACGACGACAAATATTGTCGGGCGCTTTACCTCGAAAGCGACTCGCTATCGCTGTTGTCGGCTTTGGAAGAGGGAAGACTTTAGAGAAAGCCCTTGGCAGTGAGATCTCCCAAAGGAGTTGTTCCGTCTGCTAAAAAGAGGTGTTTCTTACTAATAAAAGCCTGACAATATTATCTCAAGTCCAGACTTAACACAAAAAAATTGGACACATTCTCCTGATGTCCGTTTTTATTATGGTCCTATCAATGTGGAGATCTTTCAGGGTCGATCCGTTAACTTGGAGAGCTTCGCGGCCTCATCGGTTCAGCCCCGTGACATTCCTGGTTTGACTTATGTAATGACTCACAAAGGTGGCTGGATTCCATCAATTTCGATGCATTGGTTGAGGCAGGTCCAGGGTTGCCTCATCGTAGCTTGCTGGTCATGTTCGGCGGGGCGCTCGTTTGACAAGGAGGTGGTGACGATCCAGAACGAGACCATCTGTACAAAGCCTCTTTGAACCTCGGACCCACTCCCAGCTTCTGTTACGGGCCCAGTTAAAATAACACCGAATCCCTTTTCGTCTAGTAGCATCTCCTAGATGCTGGAGCCTGTCGTCCAAGAGGAAGGACGAGGGGCAAGGAACACGAAGCCATAGTAAAGCACCGAGTCGAAAGGAGGAGATGTTGTCTCAGCATGGAGAGGACCAATAGGCATCCCAATCATGACTGTCACTCTTCCCGTACGCATCTAAAAGCTGGTAATCGTGTGCTATGGGTCCGTGCCTCGTCGCAAAAAGTGGTTTGTTGGCTTAAATTGTTGGCTGGTACTACTGCAACATAATCCTTGGCCTCAAATGCCTCACCGGTTAAGGCTACCAGGGTTGTTATCTTTGCGATAGGGCGTTGATCCTTGTTTCATCTACCTCCAAGTGTGCTCTCATCCCCAACATTAATCAGTTCCCGCTCCCATCAAGCTCTTTTGAGGTTTTGTCAACGCTCGAGGGATAACACTCTATCGCGATGCCAACCGAAGACTCGAAAAACAAACACCTACCTCCCAAAATCTTTGACGAAAGAAAGGATAAGACCATTACTTCGACACAAACAGATAGTCCGCTCAGAAATGCTTGAGATGTTCGCGACTGAACAGTAAAGCAGCGCTGAACAGGCCGAGCAGAATGGCAAGCTCGACCGCAGAACTCGCGGCGAGAGCTTGTGAACAGTGCAGCCACTACAAAGTTAGATGCAATGAGGAACGCCTATCTTGTACACCCGACTTCTATGTGAGCAGACGGCTGTGCGACACCTAATTAGCCATTTCTAACTTTATGTGGACAGAATTGCCGAGAAGGCTTCCTAGGGTATCGGACTATCCTACAAAAGCTCTTTCCGAGCGTTCATCTGGATACACTGAAAGACCTCTCTCGTGAAAGGCTCATTGAGCTCATTCAAGTGTGCGGTCCCTCTGATCATCTATTGCCTCGACCACTGGATCTGGAGAGAGGATCTCCAGTGAATCCTAATACTACCAATCTCGAGTTGCTACAACCAACTGAAGAATACGAGAGGCTCGGATCTCACACACCTTTCACCATGTGGTGCGAGCTCCCAGCCTATACGTCGCCAAATGAATTAGGCGATTTTGGGAGTCTGGATCCCCGAGTTCTGGCAGAAACGGTGCAATGGGAAAGTCAGCCTCTTCCTCTAGTCGAAGAAGACTTCCTCATGTCATCAGAAAATATCGCGATATACGAACCAGAAGAGTTGAGCCCTACTTTAGATGAGGGACTACTAATCTCCACAAATTCCATTTCGACGACACCTAGTGAGGACGTGAAAGAACGCATAGTATATGGCGATGACTCCAATCAACATATGACCAAAATTGCTCTTAGCGCAGTCGACAAATTCCAGTGCAATTATCCTGGCTGCACTGACAAAAAAACAGGAAAGCCGAACAACTTCAAGCACAAAAGTCATCTGAAGCGACACCAAGAAACTATCCACAGAAACGTTCACGGCCCACCTATGCATAGGTGTTGGGTACCCATGTGTGACAAACGATACAAGAGAAAAGATGCACTTCAAGCCCACTTAAAGAATCACTCGAAAAAGGGAGGCAAAAGTCGTTACGTTGCTACACTAGACAAGGACAGTCAGTACTATGACCCAGATTGGAAAGGCGAACTAGATGAGCGTGAGAACCCGATTCCACTACCAAATGTCAACCATGTTAATTCGCCCATGAAAGTCTTGGGTTCTGAACCGGCACTCGGGTCAGGCAGGTCCAGGAAGTACCCATGCCCCGACTGTTCCTTGTCCTGCTATCGCAAAGTCGACTTAGAGAGACATGTTCTCATCCACACTGGAACGAGACCCTATATCTGCTCCTTCGAAGGTTGTGAGAAATCATATGTGCGCAATTCGAATCTCAAGAGACATGAAAAATCTCACAGGGGGTCACGATAAAGTCCAATGTCTCCTGGGTGATGGTAAAGACCAAGGCAAATTTTACTCAAACCCGACGAGTCTGAGAATGCACATGAACAGGAAGCACAAAGCAACATGAGAAAAAGCTACATCAGGGTTTCGCACACAACACGGTGGAACATCATCAAGAAACCCAGAGAGCCGGCTCGAGGCCGACAGTTTGGTCCTGGGTGCGATGTCGAGGCCTGTAAAGAGTTCTTCGGGGGAATCCATGGAAAGGGAAATGAACTGATGGGAGGGAAGGCATACTGCTGCAGGTTGAAGTCTCACAGGCTGGACAGACTTTATCGGCCTTCAATGAGAGGCCACAACCAGTACTTGACCTACTCCAGGCAGCGATAGCGTCGTTGGCTTTTGCGATGACCCAGTCTACCAGAGTTTCATACATGCACGCAATCAAGACTTCACGATCGTCTGTAGAGCATTTCTTAACGAGCACTTCGGGCTCCCAGTTGAGGTGTTCAAAGCTCAGTTTTAGAAGACTTTGATCTTGAGTTTGTACGTCAGTCGTCATGTTGAAGATTGTGCTTCATAGTTTCTCGAGTTCCCCTAGGTCCCAAGCCGCGTAAAGAACACTCCTGCACTGCGATCGAACCTCACCCTGATCCGTACGAGACGAGGCCGAGATTGCGGCTTCTCTCCACAATCATGCCCCTTTCGCACCGTGACGACACGGTTGGCTAGTGAGTATGATGCGGCTGGTCCGTCAGCCCGGCAAGTTTGCCTCTGTACATCCCTCCCTCCCTTATTTACAGGATGTTAATCGACTAACAGCAAAGCAATCAACAAGCCGAAAGAATGCCAGGCGCCGTTGTAGTTGCCTGCGCCGGCTGTGCTGGACCCCCACACCTCAATTCTAAGGCATCAATGCCGCTGGGGGCCCACCAAAACGAAAAGCACAGCTCACCGCCTACCCTTTCGATTCCCCCGTTTCCGATCGCAAACGTGAGGCCAACCGTTCCATCGTATCCGAACCACCCAGCGCGACCCGCGATCGTTGCAAACTAGACCACAGCCTAGGCTCTAGAGCACACGTCTACTCTTATTCCCCGTCCACCTGCAAGGAGATCTCGGAGAAGAGAAATATGCTATTCTACATGTAGAGGTCAATGCAGTCAGTAAGATGGCAATACAGCACAATTTGAGTCCACTCATCTGTGTACGGACACTCGCCAAACCCGTTGCGCCAAGTTATGGACAGCGAGGCCAGCGGATGAAGACTCGGAGAAAGAGGACCAAGAATCTATTGTTTAACGGCTGTCGCAGTTCACATGTGAGGGCAGCAGAATGAGAAATTGGCCTTCCAGTAGACTATGCAAACGCCGGTCCATCTATCCTTCGTGTCTACTGCGTCCGTCACCTTTGATTCCTCCGCCTCCTCCTATCCCTCGACCTAGTCTTCGGATCTACCGTCTTCATCACCACCATTACCATCCCGAGCTCCATTTCTCCCACCTCCATCCGAGCTGTCGCAAGCCCTAGGCATTGGCTGTGCGAACCTGCAAAGCAGGCTGCGACACGTCCGAGAAAGAAATGCGAAAAAGACCTCAATAATGCCCGGCCCTCCAAGATACCTCCAAAGAGGTTGGACTTTCTAATACTCCTCGTGCTCGAACGCGTAAGAGGAGCATTCACAGGACCCGGGAGGACCCATGGTCGTTTGAACGAGACTGAGATATATCGCCATTATGTCTCCCGGAAATTGCTAAGCGAGGTTTAGTCGTCGACCGTTCTCGCTCTCGACTTCTATTGTGTAGAGCGGTAGCGAGGACTTTTCTTGTTGCTCATCTGGTTCCCCCTCCGTGGTCGGACCACTAATCCCGGGGATACCTGTATCATGGCCCATTTCGATGGCCATCAGCACCGCCAGCAAGTTCCACCACGAGACCCAGTGCTTGTCAGTCTTGAGGTCGGGGCTCGTCCCCCTGACCGTTATCAACTAAGACGCTCCACATGCTTCCCCTGGCGCCTGTCTGCTGCGGCTGCTGCTGCTCCTGGGCCTGCTCGTCCCTGGCCCGGACAATGGTGCTGGGCTTGGTGTCGTCCTCGGGGCGCATGATTGAGATGGAACGAATGAGTGGATGACAGTGATGGATGGGCCCTCCCTCACCGGAGGCCATGTATTTGTCGCTCCCGAAAAAGGCCCGTTTCATGGTGCTCTCCTTCAGTCCAGGGGGAGGGGGCTTGTCCATAGTTTCAAATGTGAAGACCCCATGAGTCAACACAGCGGAGCGAATGTCGTCCTGTTGAGCGTTAACGGTGGCGGCGGGCATCTTCCTCTGAACTAATTCCGATTCTCTTCGTTCGTAGTTTTATTGTTGAAGGTGGGCACTTCATCTAGGTAGAGTGGTTAAAGAACAGCAACGGGCGTTGAGCTAATGGCGGTCCGTAAAAATGTAGCCAAGGTAGGTGAGTTGTGAAGAGGGATTAAGAAGTGAAGGAGGGGGAGAGGGTGGACATTAAATAGACGCCAAAAAGAAGGATGAAGAGGTAAAGACATGACGCACGAGTAGATGCCTGGCTGACTCCTTGAGTGAGATCCACTCCCATTGTTGCCGAGGGCGCAGACAACAGAGATTTTGGGTGGGCCGGGACCCTGGCTGGAGGCTATGGTCTTTCCTTTATGTTGGTTCCTAAGGAGGCTCGCTTCGTCTAAGTGATCTAGGATCCTTACTAGGAGGATATAATTAACTTGGAGGCCTCGGTCCGGTCCTGCTAGACGGACGGATGTCTTCTCATGGTGCAAGGTAGGTAGATCGGAGTGGAGATGCATCCGCGATGTGCCTTTCGGAGTCGGCGAGATAGGCAGCGAAGCTGAAAAATTGAGGGATTTCCGGGTGATCTGAATGGGAAGGGTCAACTTTATAGTCAGGTAGCTCTACATACTAGAGGGGGTTGGTGCATCTGCCTCCTTTATCTCGTCCTCTTCCCTTTGTACTTTCTCTTGGTTCCCTTCTCTCGCCTCTTTCTATGAGGCGGCAGCGTGATTTTAGGCCGGCTGACTGCTGTGAACATGTTGACCGAAACCTTCAAAAATGATGTGCATCCAGAGAAGAGGCCACTCCACCCGCCAGGTCAGATTTCTCATCAGGTCTTGGTCATCTTGAATCGGATAGGTGCCACTCTCGTCGATGCCGACGAATCGAAACTAGAGTGAGTGAACAATAGAACTTCTTCCATATTTATGCTTCCACAAAATGGAACCCAAGCTGGAATTGCCACTGATCCCAATGAAGGTGCGGCTAAAGAGATCAAACAGATAGTGCTAAGTGATCTTGAAGACAAGGATTCTGGGACTATGTAGCCAGACGCACTCGATCAGGCCTTTCCGATTGACGCAGATTGAAAAAACGGGAGGAGCTGATCGAGCAGAACAGAGTCGTTGCGGTCTCAGCGGCTCTCAGCCGCTCGCACGTCGTGTTGGTTTGGCAGCAGCTTCGTGGTAGAAAAGTGTCGGATACTTGGGCATGCCAAAGTCCCTGACAACACCCCTTGCATGGTTCATCAAGCCTCGCTTCTGCCTGGCTGTCGGACAGGAATCCCCACTTGATGTCTCGATGCACCTCGCCGAGCCGTGGTTGAGCAATCTATCTCCGGATGCGGCCGTGTTTCGACCACCACGAGAGTTGCTTCCCACCAATCGCTGTACCGCAGATTCCAGAACCGCAAAGAAACATGGTCAGAGCCGTCCAATCATGAGTGCATTACCAGACGTCGGAGAAGGCCAGAGAAAGTGTTCGAAGGACCTCAAGTTTGACCGCAGGAAACCGTGGTGCGTTCTACCTCAAAAATACAGTACACACACACAAAATCGGTGTCCGGTCTAGGTAACGCACCAAAAGCACTTTACTAATTTCAGCTAGCTTCTGAGTGCAATGGCGTCCAATCATCATTAATACTATTTCGGGATCTAGGTACCTCTATAGTCTTAGTCTTCCTTATTTGGCATTGGGCGGTATTCTTCTTCAGCAGTAGTTTTCGCTATTTCCATAAAGAGATGTCGAAGCTCGTCTGAGGTTTGTGTGTCGGCCGTCTCTATCTTCTCTGCGATGTCACGGTCTGTAACAGCAGCCTTTTCTTCCTCGCTCAACTGTGGTATGGGGCGGCACTCTTTCTCGGCAATAATTTATGCCACTAGCTCGTGATAATTCCGATGATAAACGGAGGTTGCTTTGCGGGCCATCTGCATGAAATCTGCAATTCTGTCGTCGGTAAAATCAGCTCTCTTATCCTCATGCTGCTCTTGTATTTCGCTGAGCTCTGGCTCAGCGAGGATCTGCGCTATTTGGCGTTGTTGATATTTGACTGCGGTCTCTTCGGTGTTCTGCATCGGGCTTAGTGAGAGGTTCGGTGTGTAGGTGCGACTTTTTGAATGATAGTGTGAGCGCAGCTATATAGGTAACGGATCTGGGGTAATGAGTAGTTTAGGGTATCTAGTCTATTCTCCCTATAGTAGGTGTATAGAGACTGAAGGCTTTGGAGAAGACGAAGACTCTACAGTATAATCGGGGGCACGACCCTTTTAAACTATAGGTAAGTTACTAAAGTCTTTGTCGACGTCGGGGATTTAGTAGGCTTAGATGGGGCGAAGCATACGTGGTTGCGACTAGACAATAGAACACGTTACTGCATGAGGCTGGACAAGGCTCTGCTGTGATCAACCACATATAACCATGGTGTTTTCAAAATAGTTTTCAGGCTCTCCCATTTTTATTTTTCTACCTCAAAACCTGCAAGAAACCCAAAAAGGAGGCTTACGTCTGGTCACGTGAAGGGCCTTGTCAGCCAGCCACTAGATTTTTTTCATTCTCGGGATGAGTGGGACGACTGTGGCGTGGGTCCATCTTCTGATGAAGCCTTCAATTAGATGGTTGTACTGTACTGTAAGGGGTTGGTTAAAAGAGTTGCTGGTTTCGTATGTTGCCAGCCACAGGGATTCTTCACTCTTCACTCTTCACTCAGAGCTTACCAGCCTAGTCACGACTCGTTGGAATATATGCTTGCTTGCTCTACATGTAACAGTAGAAAAGACATATGCGTACATAAATTGCCTCAAGCATGGTACTTTAATTTCAACAATTCCATTTCCCCATACCGGTCCAAAGACGCAACACATCACTTTCTATCCAACTCTAGTGCACAGGCAACGTCCACAATCCCTTGCGGTGGTCCCACCGATGTCAACGTCGGCAGCCCACCGCCGAGCACCAAAACACTGTTCGGAGTTTCGAATTCGCAGCGTTCGTCGTTGAGGAGGCGAATAGAGTCGTATTGTAGGCCCTCTACGGCGTCAGGTGAAAGTGTAGAAGGCGAAACTAGGCTGGAAATTGTGTGCGACAAGCCGTCTCTGGGGATAGAGATGACAAGGAAAGTATCGGCACTCTGTAAGACTGCACCAACGTTGTCGACATCTCGAACTGTCACGCGCTCCGGTTGAGAAAGTGAGGGGATAGCTAAGCTAAAAATCTGTCCAGGGAGGAGGAAGATTGTCGAAAGACTCGGGATGATCGCTTTGAAATACATACTTGAATTTAGACGAAAAGGTTCTTGTTCATGGGAGGACATCAGTGATGTGGGTTAAACAATGGGTCTTATACTTCAATTTCATCGATATCGCAAACACTAAGAGAAGTTGTACCTAGGCAAGACCAGCGGTCAGCGTCTGCAAGGCGAAGATGTCGCAGCCATGACTCTGCGTGCCCACAAAGCTTCGCACCAATTAATGTGCGACCGAGTACAAATTCTGGAGCACTGAAGAAGATAGTCCCAGGCGTCAGATCCTTGCGCATTGAGACTCGGTCGGACTGGAAGAGCGCAACCATCGGGTCAACTCTCCGGCCGAGTCGGTGATATAGTCCCGCGCTGATTTTTTTTGGGTGGCGACGTACTGTACAATAGCGTCGGAGTTTTAATCCCGAATTGTATGGTACGGCGGCAATTGACTGGTGTAAGGTGATACATACAGACGCAGGTTGAAAATAATGTTTAGAAATTGTCTCATGCGTCGGAAGTCGAGGCACTGAAGTCCCTAGCCCCCGGTATTCGCGATTTCCCCCACCACAACCCATGGCAACAATGATAACAGCTTTCTGATACGATAATAATCGCTTGATCACAACTACCATAAAGAGAACTTTGCTTACCCTTGTGTTTCACTAACGATGAATATGGTATTTACTTACGCCCCCGGCGGCACCTGCCGCAGGCTCTGGTGTGGTCTAAGGGGTTGTACAACCCAGGTGACCCCGACACCTATCACATAAAATTGCCAACGATGCATTCGAGCACAGAGACGACCTCTTCCTACTTGGGGGACCATGTCAGAGGCCTGGTTGTAACTCGTCACGCCGCCACTATTGCTCCTGCGCTTAGAGAGCCTTTATTCAACGGGTCGAAAACTCAGAATCAACTTTCCGACCGGATGTCCAATTCCGCAACTCCGATGCCCAGTCTAGACAATCAAATAGCGCCCGATTTACAGCCTGCCAAATCAGAGACTGACCTTGTCAAAATACACTCGATGATTCGTGGCAATCAATTTGGCTGTGATTATCCAGGCTGCGCGAATAAGGAAACCGGGCAAGCCAAATGCTTCCGCCGGCTGGAACACTTGAAAAGACACCAAATGACGGTTTACAGGAGCAACGACAGTTCCATATATAAGTGTTGGGTGCCAGGGTGTTCCAGGGCATTTAACAGAAATGACAAATTTGAAACTCACCTAAGAAACGCCCACTCGGGAAAACCACGAAGTAGAAATCGATATGTGGCAACACTGGATGAGGATAGCGTATTCTATGACAAAGAATGGAAGGGCGCCCTAGACGATCACGGGTATCCTATCTTACAAAAGTGAGCGCAAAAGTATGGATAGTCATCAGGCGGAAGGATTCAGGAGATGTAGCCTTGTCGTTGGCCAAAAAAGCGGAGCGGTCCGAAAAAGGTAATATTCAGGCGTGTATGCGGTGCCTGACTTCGCCCAAAAGCCGAGTCCTTAATGGCCCCCTTTTCGAGCGCGCGCTTTAGAGCACGAGTTTCGAACAGAGCGATGCATAGTATTGCGGACTTATACCTCCGCTAGAGGACTTTCTATGCTAATCCAAGTATTAATACTGTTCTTTGCCCGTATCTGTTGCAACCTTTCCTACTCCTCATCCGTTTTGCAACCTTTCTCTCCTCAAGTCCTTTAGATCATGGCTCGACTCTCTGCGATGCTTCTCCTCCTGCTTCGAATTTTTCCACAGACGCTTGGTGCGAGCATACCACTTCCTTTGGCACGTGGACTGACGAATGGTATGGCCGGGCTGCCGACTTCCCTACTCCTTGACGAGACGGCCTTCGGTACAAATACACGAAGAGATAGCCAAGAATGGCCTACAAACATCATTTTCTACGCCGGCCCAGAGCTTATTGCGGGCTTCGTGCCGAATGACGGTCAAACCTATGACTTGGGCAATATATTGTGCCTTGCCGCTACCGCCAATGCATTGGCCGCTGTAACGACATTGCTGTTTCTCAAGTTGGAGTTGTGGCAGGATATGGGCCATGCAAATTGACTACCCTGGATGGAACAATTATATCGCTGGAGACATCCAAATTGTACGACGTCGGCCCCCCGCAAAATATCGTACAAGCGATTTGTGGCAACTAGTCCTTTTTGTGCTGTCCAAGTTCTCCTCTCGACGGAGGGGCGCATTTATCAGGAGCGGGAGAGACCGAAAGTGGACATGATCAAGTTTTGATGTATTTATTTTATGTCAGTCTTTATGAATCGTGTTACCAGGCCTGAGAATGATTTTACATATTTGTCTAAACTCTACAGACAGCCGCCGGCGCTCCTCCCGTGCCAGAACGCCGACAACCGATCATTTGTATCACCAGAGACCTCCAGTCGTACTTTACGACGCTATCTAAAAATTATGACTTTTCATTGTGATTGAAAGAAAGGCTGTCATCTGCTTTCCTGGAAGGGAGATCTATCTGAATCTGCAGACTTAACAATGTGGACGATACAGTTATTTCTAGGAAATGTACCCTTCCCCATCCTCCAGACCAGATCATCGAAATTCTGAAGTTTTTATGCAACGACTATTATCCGCTAACTACGCTCTTTCAGTGGCGATTTTCCGTGATTAATGGCTCCCCAAAGGTATTCTTGTCTTTATGTGCTGACCACTGCCAACCTCCAGTCTCCTTTTCCTACTTGTCCCACACCCTCCTTCGGGCCGGACCGTTCTGTCTGGTTGTGTGCTTTCTGATTCGCGCATCTAGATGGCCCTGAAATGCCTCTTCACGCTCTCGATTCTTTGGTGCTGGTGACAGGTCTTCGGCACCCGCCTGACCTGCAGTCTTTTCTCCTGCCGCTTCTCTTTTCTCCCGGATGGCATCATTCTTCGTCTCCTCTTTCACCGGGAGGCTCGGCGCGGCCAAGTCAAGATAAGAAAGCCTCGACTCAGCATCAGACTTCTTTGGACGGCGGAAGATAGTTTCGCCACTCAAATCTTTCACACTGTATGGAGATCTTAACCAACTCAAAGACTTTGGCGTCAGCCACTTTAGCCAATGGGCGTGGCTCCATCTTGTGATCAACAATCAATCGACACCACCTGATCGGTGTTTTGGGCTTAGGGTATTTAGTTTTCTTCTGCACGCATGAAGGGCACATCACGAGAAAATGAGGACGAGAAATATTTCAACAGGTTTGGGGGACGCGGTCCAGTTTTATAGGACAAGAATTACCGGACGTATTCTAATGCGGGATGACCTCTGCTGAAGGCCACCAGAATTATTTCTTCAGTTGACAACTTACAAATGTACTTTTCCAAGGAAGCCAGCTGTAGAAAATGTGGCAGTGAATACAATTTTGATGTCAACTGACGACCTATATACCGCGTCCACGAAATCACTAAATGAGAGACCGCCGAGCCCCAGAGGACAACTCACTGCACGGTTCAAGGGTCTTTTCCGTCTCGGATAATTGGGCAGCGCAAAGGGACTCGCGGGAGTCGCGCTTTGCTGATGGGCCTGAATCGGCACATGGCCAGAAGGGTACAGCGTAAGCGCTGCCAGAACGATAACGCTAACCGGCGGTATACTGTAACTCCGAAGGTGCATGGTTACGAAAATGTTTCGTGTGAGTGAACCCCGCCCATCTTCAACAACTTGAGGTACCATAGCTTTTAATAGTGGCGTGTGAGCAGTTTCTTTGATCATTTCAGGGACAAGCCTATCCAACTGTAAGAATCCGCCCTGGGGCTCAAAGCCGCCGAAGAAAAGCGAACGGCGACAATGAGAAGCGAGTTTATCGATCATCCACCTAGCCAAGTTCCCAGCCACAGCCGAATTCCACCGCGCAACGAACATGGTCAGATATACTGCACTTACTGTCAGACATCGAGCGTGACGTTCAACAAGGTCCAAGACTGGAACAAGCACATGGATCGACATGAACGCCCACACAAGTGTGGAAGCTGCCATAGGCCATTCCCTACCCGATCTGGACTTTTAAGGCATCAGCGAGAGGTGCATGGGGCACAGAATTCATGTGCAGATGTTTTGGCCAGTCGAAGGTTGCGAGGAGTTTCAGGGAGACCTTTCACCAGAAACTACAACCTCCAAGACCATATGCGACGGATGCATAAGGCGTGGTTGTCAACCCACTTCCTCAACACTACATCATCAAACCCTCATCCCCATGGAATCGACCTCCAAGGACCTCCAAACACCCGAACAATGGAAGCCGGATATAATAACGATGGTCAGTGGCTGAGTCCGTGGCCCGGTGCTGGCCTAAGTGAGGAACTTCAACGTCTGCAAAACGAGCTTCGCGCGAAAGATGATCTTTTGGTGGCTATTCTGAGGGATTTACAAAGCTCATTGGAGGTCTCATTGGCTCTCATATACAATCTTCAGCAAACTCGTCCGGGGATGCCCTTACCCACCACATGGTCTTAAGTAGCACTATCAATGACAATTAATAAAGCGGCTTTGCTATGCGAAGACTGTGACATGCCCGAATCAATTTTGCCCTTCTCAGGTAGTAAGGAGAGCTCGATTACCTGTAGAGGAAACCGAGACTGCCAGGCCTGAAGTTGAACCAGGTTCAGCCATTTCCAACGCCCCCACACCGCGGCCATGGTCAGATGTCGAACTCTTGCCCCCTCCTTGGTTTCAGATTTCAGCGGTCTGCCTGAAGGCGACACGCTCTTCTGTGGCAGTGAGCGTATCATGACAGCCACCAAAAAGTGTGGTTGCCAAAAGCTATAGAAAATGGGCACACCAGACAATATTGACGACTTTTGACGAGAGAAAAACCCTTGATCCATCTCCAACGTGAACCCACGCAATCTGATCAATCAGAGATAGTAAGACTCAAGGTGTGTTCCTCTCAACATATGATGAAGAAGCTGACCATAATCTGGAGCTGCGGTACCTTATCCCATGGCGGCGCCAAACAGGGCTATAATTTCCCCCCTTTGCCTGGCAGAAGAGCCGTTAAAGAGGACATCACGCGGAAACCGCCTCGATGAAGATCCAGACCTCTGCCCTTGTGGTGGTGGGCACGAGCCAAAACCATGCCGAACTCATGTCGATAACCAGCTACTTCGAGCCACATTACGACAAAGAACAGGGGAGCAATTTCAAAGATTTCGAAGTTTTGAAGAGAGCGAACGGCAAAACAGAGTTTTGCTGGACGAATTGAATAAGACGAGATCGACGCTCGAGAGCTTGGAGGAGAGTGAAAGGAAAAATAGGATGTTGGCCGACGAGTTGAAGAAGATGAGAATGTCTCTCGAGAGCTTAGAAGAGAAGGTGCTAGAGCTATTGCCCGCCCTGAAACACGTTCTTTCTCAGAGTGTGGAGGGATAGCTAGAGATAATGCAGATAAACCTTGCGGACACATCAAGAGAAGAAACCGCGCGGAGCCATTCGAAACGACGACGAAAAAGGAGCCGAAAGGGGTGGGCGAAAACATTGCTCACAACCATTGGTCAATCAAATAGAACTATATACTGCCTCGCCATAGATTAGGTGACACCACGGTATCGGGGTACGATATATTGAATATCGTCTCCCAGCTCGCTTCTGGGAAGTCGTTCAAATAAATGGGCCGCGAATTCGAATCATCTTGAAAAAGCGTAGAGCCATGGAGATCGCAGCTCTGGGAGGCTTCGCCAATGTCACCGCTGTATAGATATACCGGCGTCATAGGACTACCAGATAGTTCATGAGACTCGACATCTATCTCTGAAGTCCCGATAGCTGAGTCGGCAGTTCGAGGCATGAATAGACAAAGGTTGTCTGACGGGCTGTCGATGGACGGTTCGGCGAACAAGGTTCTCGAATGTTGTAGTGTGGATGCCTCTTCATTTTTGGGACGTGGAAGGAAGTCCAACGCTGATTCTATATCGGCTTTGGTGATCCCATGGAGATGCCTTTCGTCCAGGGACTGGAAGTTGTGGAACAGAACCGCGGCGATAACTGCCAAAGGGCTGTTGTTATGGATAGAACGAAGGAGACTGTTTACTATTGATTTATCGTTTGACCTGATGCTCTGGAATATACCGTGGATGATATCTCGCAGCTGGTGATATGATTTTTTGCTGTGTGTGCGTCTGTCTACCTTAAACTCGCAGATGGCCCCAGCCCGAGAGCATCGGGTACATGGAAAACCGCTACACTGGAGAAGCGTGAGCGTGAGAACCTGACGTGGTCTTGGAATTTACCTTCTTCTTTATCCGCTTGCACAGCTGACATGTTTTTGAAGTAACGGTCTTGGATATTCTAATTTCCGGATTTTTCGGCATGAGGATCGACGCTGCTTGCAGGAAAACCTGCCATCGCACGGTTATTTATCTTTCAACCCACGTCCACCGCGGTGCTCGACGGAGCCAAGGGTGTGTTTCAGATTTCTGACAGTTTGGAAAATCGGCTCCACTTCCCCAGTACCCGGGCTCGGGGAATCTGCCCTGCTGTATATCTCAACATCTGTGTGGCCAGGACTCAGCAGCGAGGATGGTTTGCAGCGAGGTCGTTGTAACTATTAATTGCCTGAAGGCCAGTTGTCTTCTTCAAAATATGCGCTCCGACTCTGTACCATGGCCTAAGCCCTTGCCTGAAACGGCTCCGCCGTCCTGTAGTCGCCCGAGGGTAAGGTTCGCCATTAATCCGAATTAGGAAGGAACTAAACCAACCTGGGTCACCGGGGCTGATGCATTGGAGTAGCCGTGAGTGGCCAATACCCGGGTTGGCGCTTGTTGTTCCGACCCATCATTGGTGCGCTAGCTGAGGCGCTAGAGTAGTTCTGAATGGCCACCTAGCGAATGCGTGGAGGCTCGAAAAGAGGGTGTACGTGTGCACCCTTTTCGCCACTGAAAACGGAGGTCGGCAAGCAAAAGAAACTTGTCTTGAGCCTGGGAAGGTGTTTAGCTTGGCGTACTGCTGCTCGTCGCCCATAAAATGGGAGTCCCCGCGCCTTCCCAACCTTGATCCGATTCTCATCTTCCACAATCGAGAACTCGATGGCAAGCACAAAGCAGACAGCTTGCCTCACTTCAGTTTCTGATAACTAACTGCTCTAGCCCCGCTCGCAATGGACAACAAAGACCTACCCCACCAAGACGTCTTGCAAAAGTGTCAAACGAGTAGCAGCAGGTAAGTCGCTCTTGCTCCTCAAGGGGCACACTTGCTGATTCACAGTCAAAAACCCACACCGATATAAGCCGGGAACTGTTGCCCTTCGAGAAGTACGACGATATCAGGTATGTTGACCTTGACCTCTTGTTCTGACTCGCCAATTGAACGCACTATGGCAAAACTCCCATTTCAAAGATTGGTGCGAGAAATAGCACACGATCTCGAATCGGACATCCGTTTTCAATCGTGAGCCCTGGCAGTCTCCAGGAAGCATCCGAGTTGTTTCTGATTCAGCTCTTTGAAGACACGAACCTCTGCGATTTACGCCAAACGCGTAACGATTCAGCCAAAAGAACTGCACCTAGCACGGCAGTGCGCAGCATCAGTCGGAAGGAGATGGATTGAACAAGTCTTCCGTATCATTACGTACATTTTCAATGAGAGTGCAAGTTCGACGGCCCCCCTCATCCCACACTTTCACTTCATGAGCATCTGGCTGCAGAGGTTGTCCACTCGGTGTGATTGTCACATGAATGGCGTCGCATAACCCCCAAAGCCCGGGGCGAAATATCAAACTTGTTTTCGTGGGACAATTATCCAATGGCAGAAGCAGCTCAGTATCTCATGGCCCTGAGCATGGGTTTGTCGCCGGTGAGTCAATTGTTAGCGGCTGAAGGTCACGCGTCGAAGGCGGATGGGAAGCAAGACAAAGGTTCTACCACGCCAACAACATTGTGGGATCACAGTCCGCGCAAGCCTCGCCTTGTCTGGGTCTGGCGGCTGGCGTGGTTCAGTTTCGAGACTCAGGCAACAATTTAGCATCATGTTGGGCAATCTGTCGCCACTCTTCTGGGTCAAGCTTGCCTTTGGTCTCGCGTCTCGAGGGGAAGGCAATCAACCTGCTGTTCCACTTAGAATATGCTACAGGTCAGGTCGACCTTGCGGGACCACACAGCTGAATTTAAGGGGACAGAGACGGCGTTTCGGGCTAGACTTTCGTCCCCTTCGGTAGCATTTTGGTCGCGTCCGCATCTGCGGAGACTCGACCGCACGATAGGCCACGGTTACCCGGGCAGCGGCGGCTGAAACTCTTCAGCAATGGTGCCTCGCGAAGTTCACGGGACGATCGTACCAGCGTGACGTTTCGGACACAAAAAACAGCAGCGTGAATTTGCCAAAACTGTGCGACGGACCGCAGCTCATCAACGTCTGGATCAGGCAGCGGGGACGATGAGACAAGAGGGGCGAGCAAGAGGGCGGCGACAAGTTGAGACCCTATTGAGAGTACCAGCATCTCCGTACAGAAAGCCCACACGGGAAAAGGATCGGAATTAATAGAGAGTAGGGGTGAAGTATTTACTAAGCTAAAGATAGTAGGTCGATTTCGTGGCCGTAAATTAGGAGACTGTCATAGCTGGCGAGACGCCGGCCGGCTGGCCACCTTCGTGGGGAAAATCCGTACCGGGGGTCGTCGGTCTGGCCCTCACCGGTTCTAGTCTGGGCCATCCCTCCGGATGAAGTTGAATCAGACACATAATACCTTTATTTCTTACTGTTTCACTGAGCATTATTTAACAACGGCGCCACCCAGAAAATAGATAATCCCTGCGGCTGGCAACGTACGAAACCAGCAACTCTTGTAACCAACCTCTTACAACGTTCTAATCGAAGGCTTCAGAAGGCGGACCCACTGCACAGTCGCATCCCGAGAACGAAAAATAAATCTACTGGCTGGCATCCGTTGAGGGGAGGGGAGGCAGATCCTGAATGTGACTAAAGGCAGCTCGTCCAAAGAGACATCAGCCTGCTCTGCAAGACGGTCGCCATAACGGTCGCTGCACAGGCAACAATAACGACCAGCCTCTCAATGGTGGGGGATTTAAGCAAGCTTTCGCTCAATCTGCCAATGCCCAGCCAACCGTTTGCGTTTCCCGCCTTCCTGTCGGAATTGATACCTACGAAACGGTTGGCTCTCGATGATAGATACGTTCCCAATCCCTTTGAGAATCATGCCCACTATCGACGAGTTGCCTACCTCCTGGACTCCACAACATGATGGCTTCGTGGTGTCATCTCCTGGCCTTTCTTGTCCGCGCCCTTCGACGTAGGCCTCCTCCAGGCTCCAGCCTCTGGAATTCCCCAATTGTCCAGTCAAAGACATTGTCGTACGCGAACCCTTGTCCGCGGAAGAGTTTGTCGAACATCTTCCGGAGGTGCCGATAGCCCGGTCATCGCGTGCAGTGAAAGTCTGATCTCGGTCAGAAACAATGGCTACGTGAATATTTCTCATATCCTGCTACGAATTGCACGATGGAATCGTACACAGCTGAGTGGAAAAAAGTCATTCATTTTCAGATTGTACGGGGGGGTAACGCAACGCAGCAGGGCACCGGACGCAGAATACTCGGATGCACTTGAGATCTGAGAAGAAAGTCAACTCCAATCCGTGGCTGAATGCCTCAGTCGCGCGCTTCATGCGAGATTCCACCATTACCGCAACTACTATCTAATAGGATCGACCATTCTGGAACATGACGACAACTCCTTTTTCTCCAACGCATGAGGTCTCGGATTGATCGCTGGTCATGGTTGCGGCCCGTGCGGCTACGAAAGGTGAATACTAAGGTTGGTTCTCCCGTCGCAGTCAGACATTGCTTCTCTCAAATGATTGGCTGTCAGTGATCAACAAAAGATCACCAAATTCTGTGGATTGGTTAGTGCTCCGTCGCCCCATGCATTAACTGGAAGAACACAAGAATCCTCGAGGCTGGGCTGGCATAACAATGCAAGGGCCAGATTGGGGGCGACGTAGGCACCTTCTAGTTTCGCCAGCTCCGAGCAAACTCTGACATTACCGTACGGTTATTTACTCGCAGTCCGCTTGGAAAGGCTTGAGATGTTCGCCACTGAACAGTATAGCAGCGCTGAATAGGCCGAGCAAATGGTAAGCTCGACTGCAGAGCGCGCGGCGAGTACTTACGATAGGAATCGAAGCTCGTACCTCTTGGAAAAAAGGCTGAGAATCCCTCCCCCAAACCCATGCAAGTCTAGCTATATAATCCTCAGCCGACACTCATTGTCTGCCTCTTAGGCCTCTTCATCGCTATTACTGTTGCGACTGCTACCATTTACCAGCACCACCGGAAGAAAGAGTCTCGCGGCACAGCCTCCTCAGAATTTATACGGTGACTTTAATCTGAGCACAATATTACCTTTACGCGTTGCATTACTCCCGTTTCGAGCAACTCTCCAGCACGCAATGTCGCACAACCGCTCGGGGCCGCTTCTCCCAGAAACATGGGAGACTCTGAAGCCCGACATCCAGAATTGGTATATAACGGAAAACGAGACTTGTGAATATATTGTGAAACAACTCTCTAGCCGCAACGTCAATGTGACTGTGAAACAGATTAAATCTAGGCTCCAGGAATGGTGCTTTACGTGCAAAAAGACTTCGCACCAACATTACATAGCCATGTCAGTGGTGGCAGACTCTTGTGAGGCAGGAAACATGGTTGAGTTCGAGGTGCCGAAAAGGCAACAGCGAGTCACCTACAGCACCTCCAAAATCAAGAAAGAATGCGACAGAGTCAAGAAAAGTTACGAGTCGAAGGGGCGGTCTTTGACAATACCGTCTCTTCGCGAGGCTGAAACCATTCTCAGAGAGGCTAAAATCTCCTGGAAACCCAATGATCCCAAGCGGCAGATTCAGCCATCTGGACATCGACATTATTCGCCATTAATCGTCAGCATGTCAACCAGAAAGCCAAACAAGCCGCACGAGATTGTTCGCCTCAATCATCTTGATGACTGCACGGCCGAAGCACTCATTTCGTTCAAATCCATCAAAACCTGCACCTACCTGCACGGTTTAGGGGCCAGCCGCCAGCCGAACTACACGTGCTCCTGCAAAGACCAGCCGTGCGACGAACACACTTGTGTGAATCGTGCTTCTTGTATTGAATGTACCGCCGACTGTCCCTCGAGAGAACGGTGTGAAAATCGAAGATTTTCGAAGCGTCAGTATGCCGATTTGTCAGTCATCTATCAGGGAGACAAGGGTTACGGCCTCAGAACAGATGCGAGCTTACGAAGCCAGCAATTCATCATCGAATACGTAGGAGAAGTCATATCGGAAGAAGTGTATCTCCGGCGCAGGGAACAGTACCGTGAGGAGGGAAACGAACACGACTATTTTATGTTCTTGCAGAAAGGCGAATACATCGATGCGCAAAAGAGAGGAAACTTGTCGCGCTTCTGCAATCATTCCTGCTCTCCCAATTGCTACGTCGAGTTGTGGCACGTGGAGGGTAAAGTCCGGGCGGGAATCTTTGCGGCGCGAGACATCGAAGCGGGTGAAGAGCTGGTGTTCGACTACAAAACAGATACCCGGGGTGCAGAGCCGCAAAGGTGTGCTTGTCGGGCCCAAAATTGTACAGGTCTGATCGGGCGGGCAAAAAAGCCTAAGCGTATCATCCGCTTGCGCATCGGCAGGGACGGAGCTGAGAATCCTTCGGTGAGAGGAGACCAGGGTGACACGATCGGCGTGGTTCATGATCGCCCACAGTCTCCTGGTCCACGGCTTCATGCAGAGCAGACTGACATCGTCGCAAGTCGGCAGCCGCGAGAAGCTTCCATCGACCCTGAAGATTCGAACAGTGACACGGCGACCCTTAACGACAATCTCACTTTGCCACCCTTGCCCTCACTGCCGTCCAGGCCCGATCTACTGACAGTGGACCTGATTAAGGGCCTCCTCGCTTCTCTCGAAAAAGCCGAAAACCGAGTAATTACGCAGTCCAAACAATTGGCAGCTCGGCGTAATGAAATGGATACCAGACTACGACAACACCGTCGGCGTCAAGACGAAGAGTGGGAAGCAACTCTGCGAAAACGGAAGGTCCAGGATGATCAGACCCAGACTCATCGCCAGGGACTAGATGCAGCTCTCAAACAATTCGAGCAGGAACTTGATTTCAAAGAAGGGGTGAGTAGCTTCTTACTCTTTGGGGTCCACCTCAAATATTAATGTTCCTAGATACTACGACATTACCTTAAGCGTGTTAAAAGGGGTCACCCCATTAATGAAACAGTCTTCCAACAACAGGGACGATCTCTCTCGCCATCCTGTCAAACGGTCGCACCAGGAACCACCCCGCCCCTCTCTTATCTGGCCTCTCAAAGCTCTGCATCCTCCGTCTAGTCCGTGTCTAAACAAGTCGATATCCCATCTTATGCCGGCACGGCTGGGGACCATGGATATCCTTTAGGCTCTGCTCCCCAAGCTTACTCCGCTGAGATGGACCCTCAAAGTAGGAGTCCAATGTGGCCGCCGACATCAAGGGACCAGTTTGAGGCGGCGCCAAAGCGAATGTCCTGTCCATCTCTTGGCCACTCGAACGCCCAGAGCTCACCTCTTCGGCACCAGATTGGCCTCAACGCGTACAATCGGGCACGGCAACAAGAACAAGGGCAACGATCCCGCCTCGCGAATTCCGCACCGCATTTGGCGAAGACCGACAGTGTTTTGGCACTCATCCGTTCAGGGTCTCACTAGTTCCCGAGAACGAGCTACATTTGAACAATCATCTTTGCCGTTTTGCTTACAAGGTTCGCTATCGCGGTGGAGCCTACGTCAGAAAGGACATTTTGGATCGGGACATAGGGAGGAGCCTCTACGTACGCTTCGAGGCAGGGTCAATTTGGCAAGTATTGTGGTGAACAATGCTGGCCTGGTAGTGAAGGGAGCTCTACTGGACTACGCTGAGCAGGATACGGTGGCTGATCTTCTCAATGGCACCTCTCCTGTCACTTGGCATCGTCGAGCCAAGTGGGCCAGGGACATCATTCGTGGCGTCTGGCATGTTCATGCGGAAGGATACGTGCACGGCGACCTATCCCTTGACAGTATTCTCATCGACATACATGACTGTGCCCAAATTGCGGACTTCAACCGTGGGTGTCGTTCAGGATGGGAGCCCCCTGAGATGGCTGGTCGCCCTACCAGCTTAGACTTGGGAGTCAAGTCAGACTTTGTTCCAGCTGGGAATGGTGCTATGAGCATTGGCAGCGAATGATCCTCATCCTGGACACCATCGACCTTTCAGTTTTGATCGGTTTTGCTCAGAGGTTCCCGGCTGGTACCGGAACATTGTTGAGATCTGCTTGTCTCCTCAACCACGCGACCGGATTTCCGCTGCCCGTTTCACGGGGTACTGCCCCGAATCGGAATAACGGAACTTTCGTCTGGCACGAAATCGGATCTGTCCATAGAGAGGCTTTTTCGATCTCAATTCATGGCAAAAGAATGCTGGCTGTTCAAGCAACACTTTCCCTGCGTCACAGCCATCTAGACTGGCAAAGCAGGATAGCTTCCCAATTTCCTCTCTCTCCTCCTTGGTATTTCCCTTTGAACTCTCGAGCGTTTCCTAAGCTCGTCTTCATTTGCCGCAGTTTGTCGCTCATGAATGATGGAATGCCTGCTGGTGATGTATTCGTGACGCTTGCCAGCTTTCCCCTGGATGTGAAATGGTTGGCTCACGGTGAAATAGTAATTCCAAGCAAGGGATAATTTGGCTCTCATTAGGAGTTTGTGACCGCCAAAAACACATCATAAGTTCATTCTTACGAAGCATAGCTACCAGGGCCTGGATGTTTGAGGTTGAGCAATTTGGAGTTATGCATTACAATGAAGACACAGCCAAAGTCATGCTGCAACAGCCACAACCCGTGCGACAAAATTGCAGCAGCTGAAGCGGAACAACCCTCACAGGTGGAGTTGGTATTCAAGTCTGACAGAAGTTGGGCTGTTAAAACCACAGACAAGACAGAAATGGTCCCAACCAGGGGAAACGATCTGTTGCGTCGATTGATTGTTGCTCAACTTTCCACCACCTTTGATCTCCATTCGGAGACAAGACTTGCCATGTCTCTATCAGCAGCACAGAAATCGTGCAATGCAAACTGCACGATTCCGTTAGCTCGTCAATTTGGTAAACAAGGGATCAGCTCACCTGCAACAATTCCTCTGCACTAGGGCGTCGTCCCGGATATGGATCTAGGCAGATTTCGAGTAGAGAATTAAGGGACTCTGACAACGGCAGCTTTAGCTTGCCCAGAAGGTCTGACAGAGTACTCGATGCTGTTGCTTTTGCCTTGTGAAGCTTGTCCAGCAATTCCTTGCCTTCGACGATCTCAAGAATAGTGATACCGACACACCAAATGTCGACCTTGTAGTCGTAAGGTCTGCCATCTATCATTTCTGGAGCCATCCAACCCGCGTCTGGCGCTGAGATCGGACGTAATGCTCCGGCCTTGATGCAGAGATCAATCCCAGACAGACAGACACGGCCGGACGGATCAAGCAAGATGTTGTCAGATCTAACATCCCGGTGCACAATACCTTGACGATGCAAAGCATGCAGGGCACGAAGGACCTGTGCGAGTTAATCGTCATCTTAATTTGATGGGGAGGCTTCTTACATCTCGAGACACCCGAGCAATGTGAAGCTCGTGCAACCCAATCTCATGATTGATGAGGCTGAACAAATTGCACCCTTCAAGATTCTCCATGGCCACCCAGAATTTGTCGTCCTTCCTGAAACATTCAAAGATTTGGACAAAGGACGAGTGACGATGTTCGACAAGCTCATTGATTGCAATCCTTGTCTGCTCCGGGAGGGTTCCGGCTTTGAAACTTTGAAGAGACCTCACTTCTCCGGTGGGAACATGCCGCGCGCGGTACACCTGGCCCAAGAAGCCTCGGTGGTTGAGCTCCTCTAGCTCATCGTACTTGAGTGGAAGTTGCAAGAGCGGGGGCTCGATTGGCGAGCTCTGGTGTGCTCTCTGTTCCGGAGAGGTTTCTGTGTCGAGAACTTCGATGGTGAGCAGTCGAAAAGTGTGAGATAAATTCTCGGGAAAGGCTGCGGCTAAGTCCGTCGCAGATAGTTGCGGGCTCGGAGAAGAACATTTTCTGATAATTTCCCGATACCAATGAGGGACGTGTGTAGGGCAAGGTTCCACCAAGGCCGACAAAATTTGCCCCAAGTCCAATATGTCTTGCTTCCTCGTGAGATCCGACAAAGAAAGGTCGTTGTTGAGAGCGATGATCCGAGCGTGGTTGGAGCTGTCGATAACAACATGGGAAAGGTTCAGCGTCCCGTGAACGAGGCCTCGCGCGTGAGCCTCTTGAATGCCGTGGACAATGTGCTGTGCCCACATGCACCTGGAGGCCCAAGGTATTGTTCCGCCATTTTTGTGGAGGAGGGTGCCCAGTGTTCCTCTTCCAGCATACTCCAGGAGCAAAGCCTTGACTGAGCCACGTTGATCAAGAACAAGACTTTTGATTTGCACCCAATGCTTGGAGTCTCTCAACTGATATAAAGCCTTCATCTCGGATCGGAATTTCTCGACAGCTTGCCCGAAAATCTCCTTCTTGATATAGATGACACCTTCGTAGCGGACTCTGTAGACGAAGCCTGAAATATGAGAGTCCATTCCCAGTTGGCTCTCATGCACTGCTGGAAGCTGCATCAGGTCAGGTGAGAGAGAATTTGCCTGTGGCAGTTGGACCGCACCCTCAGCGTCGTTCACTACATCAACGTGGAGTTTTCCTTCTTCGGTTTTGAGATGCAGCCGGGTGATGTTGTCAGAAAACTGGACCTGATGCAGGCGATCCATGATAGAACGGCGTATCAGATCGCTTTTTTCTTGTGGATCTTCAAGTCGCTGTACATCGTCTTCCAGGGAATGTGGTTGGGCTTCGCCAACATCATAAGTAACCGTCAACCGGTGCCAGGCGTTTGATTTGTCGATGTAAGTGATGTAAAAGAGTTCGAGATGACCCGACAGCTGGCAGACGGAGTTGAGTATCCACCAGTCTGATACGTAGAACGCCGGATGATCCATTTAGGCACATTTCTCTTCGGTGAAGCAGCTGGCGGTGTTGAAGATTTTCAACAGACCGTGGCGCGCTTATATACCTCATCGTAGCCGAATTCGTTTTGTTGCGGGCACCCCATCCCCTAGTGACCAGATTAGGAACCATGTTCGCATGTACGGGAAACGAAATATGTTGCAAGAGGGAGGTGTTCTTGGGGGGAGGGTTGGGCAAGTCAGAACCTACCATTTGTCTGTAAGGCCTCGGTTCTGCAACAAGGCTATGCAGGACCACGGACGCTGTTGGAGTGTTTAGTCGATTCACATCTCAGTGCAGCCATCGCCGCTATGGCAAACTGTTGGTTCTCCAAACAGATGGGCACGGTCCATCCTCTTTGCCCACCCGCCACCAATTGTTATGACCGCGAACTTTGCAGAGCATGAGTGCCGCAGAGCACATATGGTCACGGCACATTCGGACGTCGGCAGGTCAAGCCCGATCCTTCAAGCTGTTATTGACAACGCCCCTCGGGACAATGCTGTACATCTTGGTTCAGGCTCGGACTCTCGACCAGCTCCGAGACCAAGGATAGATTGCTTCAACTTGGGTCGATCCCAGCGCACGTCGGAGTTCTTTGTTATGGAGCGGCCGGCAAAAGAAGCCCGCCCGCCACCATCCCGAGCCGCGAAGAACATGAACCAGAATCACTCCGGACCCTACTGTAGTATGAAGGAAACATTGAAAAAATTAAAAGCGCATAAAAGCGCATGGAACTGCCCAGCAGATGGAGACGTCATAATCCAAATATAACACTTTGAGATCCATTGCAAGTCATACAGCTAAAGCTCACAGCCTCACACCTTCTATACCCATTAGTGGCGTCGATTGCTCATGGATTAATAGGTAAAAACATCCAGACGGGCACTATAAAGTGCTTGTCGTTCAGTTTTCTCACAAGGAATCCAACGTGAATCCGGCACAAAGAGATAGTTTTGTTCTGGTACCCATACGGCAGCCCCACTAGCCGTCATGGCGCATCCTTTTTGAAGGTACTTCGGTCATCGAGCGGTGACTCACGAGGTTGTCGAGATGACGGAGTTACCGAGTCTAAGACCTCTCGAAGACGTATTTGTCGCCGACGGCTTGAGGGGATCTGAGCTGGGGTGCTGAAGTCTGTTTGGTGTTTGAATGTAAATTTTGGTTGTGTCTGCAATGTAGACACACTTACCGCAGTGAGCTGTTCAAATGGTCCTGTATAGAAATGAGTCAATTCGTGGGTAAAGCTAGAAGACATCCTAAGAGAATTTCTTTTCGAATCGACACCAGCCTTCTCGACAAGTGAATCACCGCGTGATTACGGCAGGGGAACTTGAACAGGAGGGTTCTTCGATCCACCAGCCACGTCGCCAAGCTTACCTACCGACTTTCAAGCGTGGTCGCCAGAACGGTCGCCGCACAGGCAACAACTATGACCAACCTCTCAACCGGTGAGGCATTTACTCAATGATTTGAAGACCAGCTTCCTGCCACTCTGGAGATATTGGCCCCTGCAAAATGGTTGGCTCTCGATGATCGATAACCACCACCCTCCAGGTTTTCGGCCTCCTGATCGGTGCCGCAGCAGGTTTCATCCATTCGTACGACTCATATGGTCCATCCAGCCATTAGGACAACGTTTTGCTGCAACGGGTCTCGGAGAACTTCAAAGGCTGGATTTTATTGTGATAAGCATTGCCTGAAATCTACTGGAAATAAGGGGCTTATTCGCAAGAGCCCGTTGACAAGTCGTGCATCTGCTCAACACCCACGCTTAAAACATCGACGACCCGCCGGCAACAAGGATGCAACTTCAAAAGACGTTGTCCTGCCGCGTTCGTACACGACCCTGTGGTTGGGCGAAGGTCACCCCGCTGGGTGAGGATTCATTTATGAAACCCAACCTCATACTTTCCGCCATGGTCGAATGGAGCAGACTTGACTCCGTAGGTGGTGAGTGTCCTATATTATTTCGGGATTCTTTACATCTTCGCATCACCTCTATCTACAAGTTGAGGTGAACAGTCTCCAACATTTTCTTCAGGACGAAAGTCAGAGCACGAGAAAAGTCGGCGGCGAAATCAGCATCATCTCCTACCACGCTATTGATCGTTCAACGCAGTGCTCTATCATGGATCCCCAAGGCCGACACGTCCGTGGATTGAGCCTCAAGAAGCATGAAAGCTTGCAGGGGGTGGAAAGGTATGAGAAAGTTCTACTAGATATTCAATTGGCTGACCCTTCCCGCTTTCATATTCGCAGAGAACGAGGAATTACCACCGTTGGCCCATCATCGCCGGCTGCGCCTGCTCAAGATCGGTGGATACTTAATCTGTTCCAAAGGTTCGACGAGGGGGTTGAAAAGCTCTTCCTTACCTATGTTGACGACTCGAACCACTGGCGCCGGATGACAATTTCTTACAAGTGTCGAGACGCCGAGCCGATGTCTTTAGAGCTAGACCTGTCGAGCCTTGCATCTCCAGAGGATAAGATGTCACGAATATGGGAATCCATCTACGAGCACCTACATGAAATTCGATTCTTCGACACCGTCACACGACTCGAGCTCCGGACTATCGATTCCACATTGAATGTCTTCGTGCGCGAAAGCATCGACGAAGTCATTCAGTATCCGCCGCGAGATATTGTTAGACTGTTTTTCGACAGTGGCCAATTCGCTCCATTCGAGATTTGCGAAGACGAATTAGTCCTGGACTCTCATCTTTACGGCTTTGTCTACAGGATCCAACATGGTGATAGGTATTATGTCAAGAAAGACATTCCCGGATCTGATGCGATAGACAGGTTCGTCTACGAGATTCGCGCTCTATATGCTCTCCGGGATTGTGGGCACGTGGTCAAGCTAGAAGGTATTGTGCTTGATGACACTCTGCAGCTGGTGAAAGGCATACTCGTAGGCTACCTCGAAAACGGCGCAGTGGTTGACCTTCTTGGTGGCGGCGTTCCATGGAGAGATCGATGTCGGTGGGCAGAGCAGGCCATCCGTGGTCTTTGTGACGTTCACGCAGAGGGATACGTTCAAGGCGACTTCACCCTTTCTAACCTCGCCATCGACGAACAACGAGATGCCAAGATCATTGACTTCAATAGGCGTGGATGCCCAATAGGATGGGAACCTCCAGAACTCGCCGATCACCCTGCCTCACTCTACATCGGGGAGAAATCAGACTTATTCCAGTTGGGCATGATTTTGTGGGCATTGGCTATGAACGATGACCAGCCCGAGAGACACCGTCGACCCTTGAGCTTGAAATTTCCCCAAGAGATCCCTGGTTGGTACCGAAACATCGTTGCGACTTGCTTATCTCCTCGGCCGCGGAACCGACTGTGCGCCGAGAGGTTGATCAGAATGCTTCCTCAAACTAGTCCAAGTTTCTCGAAGTGCGGCCTCGAGGATTTCGGGCAGTCGCCCACTATCGGCAGTTTCGACGTTGAGACTGATATCTCCCCAGGGCCAATCTATGCTGCCACCGAAGTGCCCACGAGGCCCGTCTCCTTCAGCAAGGTCAAGACGCAACTACTGGAGAAATCGACCCTATCGAAGATACTGGGACATAAGCAGCCGCATATTATAGGTCTCCAAGACCTATTCGAGATTGATAATAGCATATGGTTGAGCATGGAGGATCATCAAGGTTGCAACTTATTTGAGCTGATCCAAAAAAACCTTGCATTGGAGGAGAGTATCATTGCCAGGATATGTCGCGATGTAAGAAACTCAGGCCAGAATAGTGTTGGCCTTTCTAACAATCACAGGTATTGCTTGCTTTAACTTTTCTGCAATTGCAAGGCGTCGTCCATGGAAATATCAGATCTGACAATATCCTGATGAGCACTACCGGCTACGCGAGATTATCGAGCTTCGATTTCTGCTTCGAAATCGAAAACAGCCCCAAAATTCGAGACATCAAAGGTACATCGCGTTGGGTAGCTCCAGAAATGCTGAAGGAAGAACCGTACAACCACAAAGTCGATATCTGGTCCCTGGGTATAACAATCATCGAGATGATTCAAGGAATCCCGCCGTATTCTGGCCTGCCGCCCTCTGAAGCGATGGCCATGGTTGCAAAGAATGGCCCTCCACGTATCACCGGCCGAGATGAAGGGGAAATTTCAGAGCCTATGTCGCTGCTGCTTCATTCATCCCTTCAAGTCATACCATCCAGTCGACCCAGCGCAGATGTTCTACTGCTCGTAAGTTGATTCCTTTCCAAGAGCTGAATCATCATACTGAAGACGGTCAGTATCCATTGATACTTGACTCCGCACCCAGGTCAGCAATTATCTCACTCGTTGAGAAGCACGAGGCCGGTATATAGCCCATCACAGTTGTGGTGATAGGTTTCCGAGGGCATGATTGTCAAGGCTGTGGAGGAGGTTTCTGAATCTTGAGTGGAGCTTTGTTGTACGAGACAGGTCAGAATGATGGTTGAAAGTCCGCCAGAACCGGGGGCGCGGCTTTCACTGAACACATTTGGGAAGTTAGTCCTTATCTCGCAATAAGTTGACTTGCTCACGCCAACAAGTGGTTGGTGTAGATTGTATGGAAAGAACGCCAAAAAGCCACCCTAAGCAGACTCAAGTTTGATGAAACTGCTAGCGTACGGTCACTGCTTGCTTTGCGAGCCGGTCGGCTAATTCGTTCCCTTCGATGCCTGTATGACCTGGGATCCAGTGTAACCGGATTTTTATCCGTCGCTCCCGAAATGCCTGAACTCGGTCCAGGATGCGATGTACTATTGCTTGACCTGGTTTATTGGATGGGTTGGATTGCTTTGATGGCTGACTGACTGTCGCTGACTATTGTATACATCTTGTCTCTTCGCCTGTTGACTCTTTCCTGGTAAATTACATCGACTGTCCCAAGCGAACCCGCGACTCGAGGTAGTGAACTTGCGCACGACCTGGCTCGGAAATCAACACATCCAGATTGCCAGTTCCGGTAGGCGCGAAATTGAATCGACCGCCAGAAGGAAGCCGAAAGGACCGCATGACGAGCGGAGGAAACAATTCGAGGCACGCCCGGTGGCCGATACACGAAACAGCTCGACCGAGCTCTCCCGGGCGGGCACACGCGCCAGCTCTACGACAAGCTCAAACGCGACGAAGCACAGATATTGGCTCAACTCCGAACGGGGAAAGCCCGACTCAACCGTGCCCTTTACAGGATCAAAGCGGTGGAATCGGATCAGTGTGCATGGTGCTGCCGGCCCGAGACGGTCAGACACTTCCTGACGGAGTGCATGCGTTGGACCTCACAGCGCCGACAATATCTTCAGGCAGCCCACAGAGCGGTGGACGGATGTGTCATTCCTTCTAGGAGGATGGACGAGTGAAAGAGCGCTCAAGAAATGGAAGCCGAACATGGAAGCAGTCAGAGCCACGATCTGTTTTGCGAAAGCCACCGGTCGATTGAAGCTCGACCCTGAACAAAGGAGATAACCCTGTTTGAGAATGGAATGAACCCGCACTCGACAGTTCCTGTGCCGATGAAAGAGCAGTAACACTCAAGAAGAAGAGTCTCGAGGGCGAAGTGTATAGCTCGTCAGGGGATCTCAGCAACCGCGAATCGGATGCCACCGAGGGACCAACAGCATGTAGAATTAGCTAGTCCCTATTGGGCTTAGCCCGCTTGGGAGTATGAAAATAATAAAAAAAAAATTTTTCTCGGCCAAAACCTCCTTCGACACTCCCCAGCCGCGCCGACCATCGTCCGATCATCGTCCAATCACCGTGTTGAGGCGAAACGGGAAAAAACTACCGCATGTCATACTCCACAGTCTGATCTCTTCTGCCAAGAGGCACTACTATCTTGATCCTGAAGCGGGCTGTAACGAGGTCCCAAATAAGCAAGAAACAAAGAAAGACAACGCTCTTCCACTGCATTGCTATGGCTACACTTGTCATTGCCCACCGAATTGGCATCGAAAGTGGCCCCGACGGCCGTGGCCCCGGCCTACCGCTTCCTCCCTCCCTCAAGACTGTATCGCTATGGGGTGAAAATTGCACGGGGAATTTAGGAGCGTTACATACCATTCTAGCGGCTTCACAAGTGGAGGAATTATGTGCAGAGTTCCTGGGTGTGGTTCATGGCATTCCAGAGGATGGTTCACTGTTATCGCTCTCTCCGCCAAGTTCAACTTGTTGCGTGCAAGCTCAAGAAATAACACCTGCAGCGGTTCCTGAGCCGCTGCCCCCTTCTTCAAAGTTTCTGTTATACCGCGGACGCTTTTGAAGACGACAACGATGAGTCAGGTGGTCCTCTAGGTCGATTTCCACACCCTATCCAAGCAAAGGAACTTGTAGAAAGCTCTCTAATTTAACGGATCGACCCTGAAAGATCTCCACATCCAACCAATTTCCGAACGGACGGAAATTTCCGCCAGCTCGTGCTCACTCCGCAAACCTACTATCGCATTGGCGCTGGTGGTGAGAAGAAAGATCTTTACACCTTCGATGTGTGGTGGGTGATAGGAAGACAGAAGGGAAGAGATTGAGCATGGTTACCAAATAGCCTCGGAGAGGGCCCAGAATCCTCGCTGGGCCCGAACTCTCGATGAGGGGCCGACTAAGCTTCCCACATGGTACAATACTCGCCTGCACGCCCCTTGCGGTGGGGGCGTCCAAAGAACCTCGATCGGAACTCCTTTAGGAGTAGGCAGCTTCGGCGTTGTGGACAAGGCGGTCGACCTTGACTCCGGGAACTTTGTTGCCATTAAAAAAATCGCACTACCTCCAAGTGTCGGGCGTGCCGGCGAACCATCAAAAAAGAAGCACCGAGCTAAAAACGCCTCGAGAGAGTCCCGCCACCTAGAATACAGTAGACATTATCTCAAGTTTCTCCCTCATCATCCTCCATTTCAGCATCACTCCGTACGTTCTCATAATACCAATTGTCCATCCATTTTGGTGTCCACTTCTCATTCTCCAGCGTAGTTCTCAGGAGTACCTAACCCCAGGTGAGAGTCGTTTGGCGGGTAGATTCTTCAGTCGTATTGCCCTTTGCATTGTAGCCGCAATTGTCGCATTTGATTTCGATACGGAATGGTCTCTCTGTGTGGCTTTCGTCACGACGGACGCAGCGGGTGTGAGGTTTCTTGCCACAACCGAAACACTATTTGACGGATAGCTATAGAGTTAAGAGATTAATATCTATCATCAGAGGTAGAGAGGGATAGGATACTTACGCAATTCACATCGTCATCGACCAGGAATGGCGTTTCATTCTCGACTCTCCATTTTTGAAGGAATTCAGGTCGAGGTCTGGACACAATTTTATTTCGAGGTTGAGACATCTTGATGCTGTAGCCTGTGTAACCTGTAGGTAAGATTCTGTGAGTGATTTGTGACCATTTTTGGGTACTTCAAATATTTATATCCTATTTACCAGGTCTAGGATAGGATACCAAGGTTAGGGGTTCGATTTACGGTCTCGGTAGGAGTAGAGTACCCTTTTTTAACGCCACAAGTTGGGAATCAATCGAAGAGAGATGCAGCGGCCGAGTACAGCGCAGCCCAGGCTTTGCTGCAGTCAACGCCGCAAGTTGGCAATCAATCAAAGAGATGCAATCGATTGAACAGAGACGCGGCGGTGAAGAACAGATCAGGCGAGGCTTTGCTGCAGACGCAGAGAGATCTGTCAAGGAGGAATGTTCTTGCAAGTTTCTGCGGCAAGGAATGGCGCGCAGGCAATCAATCGTTGCGTGATCTGACAACGAGGAATATCATTGCAAGTTTCTGCGGGTAGTAATGGCGTGCCGGTGATCGATTACTGAGAGGTCTGATAACAAGGACAGCTTGAGCAAAACTTTACAGCACCGGACAGCGCCAGAAGTATATGTCATTGTCATTTGACGCGTATTCTGCACCGTACGAAGAGAACGGGGAAGATCTTCTTTCAATCAAGAAGACGGCAATGTTGCCCTGAGACATTTGCTTCGCAAGCTCTTCTGAATGAGGTTTACAAGAAGGACGGATTTTGTATATAGCCTGTGGCCTGTGGTGATCGCTTCAGTAGATACCCGGATTTGCCTGGCTAATTCCACTCGTTCCATCTCCTTACAGTACCACCGGCCAGATATCGCCTGTTGCCCAGTGACCCCGCTCTTCTTACTCCGCAGGAGAAAGTTGATTCAACTCATACTCCATGGCTGCTCTGCCGATCGCCCTCGTTCTCTCGTGGAACAGCTCAAGAATTCGAGTAAGATGTCCGTATTGTCTGGGCACACATGGTCACGGCTTTCCTCTGGGACCCTACAAACAGAGGCAAAGTGACTGCCACGACATTAACGGAGGCTTGGTGGTAAGTGCTTGAGTAGCTGTAGGCGTTGCCATCGTATATAGGTTCTGCCGATTGGTAATTCTGGAGACTGTGCATCGCTCGGGCGCCGATCGCTCCATCGTGACAGGCTTGCCGCTTTGCGACATCGATTCATCAGATATCAACTTTCTCTTCAAATATGGAGCCCATGGAGCTGGAATGTGTGCGTAACGGCCTGCGGCTCTAAGCAAAAGCGACGAACGTTGTACTTAAATTCTCATTTTCTTTCTTATTTCAAGTTAGAATTTCAAAAATAGTCAAAGGGCGGCTCGCCCCTTCGTGCATCGGCGGGCTGTTCTAGATCCCGGGGGCCAACTCTGAATCCGCCCCGACCCCCGCGTCGATAGTTACCGCGCGCGAAGTTGGGGCTAACCATTGGAGAGCTATTCTAAGCTTCGTTTGCGCCCGTAAATCATTCTTATTTTTGGAGCCAACGCTCTACACTATCCATTCTCATTTGGAAAATTATACGGTGGGTTTCTCTAGGCCTGCAAACGAAGCTTCTTTCTACCTACTTAAAACAATCCTTCTCGCTATCCCTGCCATTAACATTCTAAATGATCAGAAATATGCCACGACGACGCTCCGCTCGAGAAGATGCTAACGACAGGCGTCGTAAGGTAAGGCAACGCAGGAAAAGAAAGTTTAGCGCCATCAAAAAATTCCATGAGTTACACACAATATGCGGCTATAACGTGGCCTGTCTCATCATCAATCCGGAGACCGGACAGGCCTATACATACAGATCCGCCGATCACGGACTATGGCAACCGGTGATTGAAAACATTGTAAGTCTTCCCTAAAGCGATAACACACCTCATGCTCAAATGATTATAGCCCCGATTCAATCTGGTGCCTGAGAATCTGCTCCCCCAGGATGTTGAAATGTTGTTGCAGAGGAGATCTTCTCAGGATGGCCTAGAGGACGAAGCAGTGTCAGAAGATGAAGACAAAGCTTATAAAGAAGTCGAACCGTACCAATCCCCCTCCAGCGAGCCACGGAACGAAGAGATTCAAAATCACAACGGCTCAGTCACTAAACAGAAAGCCTCGTCCGAAGACGGCATTACTCCTGCACCTCCGCCCTCAGTTAGACAATCCTCACCCGAAGAAACAACCACAACTATAGTATTTAAATACGCAAGAGACAAACTGGCGGACCCGCAGTCTGTCATCGCAAATGATCGTCGATCAACGTCCCGAGAGCTCGTTACTGCCTCTCTTCCCGGCCCCCCTTCCACAGAGACCATCATAGGAAGACCACAGACTACTTCAACGGCAGCTGTGCTACATGTGAACTCAATAACAGAAGATGAGGTTGAGCCGCAGTTTCACAATTGCGTGGAAGCACCAGATGCTAGCGCAACGCCTCTTATGAAGCATACGAGGCGTCCCGGTGATCGACTCTGTCGCAAGAGGTGTGCTGGTCTGAAAGAAGAGATGAAGAGACTATTACGGATACAGCGGATACATGAGGAGTTGTACAAGATGAGGGCCGCAGGCGAGGTAGAGGAGAGTGATTTCGAAAGCGACTTTTTCGATCATGAGGAGGGGGGCCCAAGCAACAGATAGTCATCGTAGTCAACTGAACGTGTGGAGCGATTGATGTTATAACAGGAGATTGACCGTCCCCTCGCATTTGTCGCACAGACTCTCTGCGGTGTCAGTTCTCCTTGATGGGTGAGCAGGGGGAATATCGTCTACATGACCGATGTTAGACGGGCGTGATCATCTTGACGACGTTGACCCTGCTTGTCCTCTACACTGTCATTTCCCTCTATGTCAACTACAAAAATTGTCCTCAAATTAAGGGTCCATGGCTCGCTTCTGTCTCCAATCTCTGGCTATTTCGAACCACCTATGCAGGACGAATGTATGCCACTTCTTTGCTCGAAAGCCTCCAAAACTCCTCTGGAATGTCGAAAGTCTTGCAGCGGTTGGGAAATTCAGGAATAGGGGCCTTTTAAAGCTTCAAATTCTTCATGAATTGGGCTCTGATCTCCTTCGGTGTCCATTCTTCACCTATAGGCATAAGGACTGTCGCAACTGTCTTTTTTTTTCTCCCTCTCCAGAGTTGAGATATATGTTTCATTGTTGACTTGAACCTAGAGATTCCATTTTTTAGGATCGTGGGCAGTCACCTTTCGTAGGTCTAGTGTCAGTTGAAGCTCTATACCAAAAGAAGTATGGAAGGTAAAAGCTCATAACATACCCCTGCATGTCTAATCGGAAGTTCTGATCTTTATAGAGTGTGCCTCCGTTATTTCGAAAGTCACCAAGGCTCCGAAACGAGATGTGACCCCTGGACAACAATCTACACAGAGGGGGCGTCCAATCGCCAAAAGAAGTCCCGGAACGAAACAGAATGCCACGAGTGGAAACAGTACCGTACGCAGAAGCCAGCGGTTGGTGGCACAGCAATTCCGACACTGCGGATTTCAGTAACATGAATATTTATTTACCTTCCTTTTGCAACTGCTACAGTAGTTTTGAAGAAGCAGGCGACCTGTGCGAGTGAGCTCTGTGCGGCTTGAATTTCATACCCCGATCTCCAGCTTAAGCAACTGTACTTCAGTCACGAGTATCTTGCTTTGTCATTCTATTTATCTTCCTGTACAGTGCAACGCTCGGTGGCGGGTTCCAAGCTGGTATTAAACTATGGCCACAGATCCACCTCCCACCCCAGTTGAAACCCCGTTACTTGCTGTAGCTATCAACCGACAGGACTTCTGTTGCCCTGTCATCCTCACGTACAGCAGAGGTCACGTTGTCGGACCCGAGGTAGATATCCCGGATCTCTCTCTCTGTCTCTCTCTCTCTCTCACACACACACACACGATCCGTTTACAGAAGGGGCAGCGCTTCTTGGGCCCATCAGCAGTGTAGAACTGAGCGAAATCCTTGCTTGAAACCCGTTAAATCTCTCACCGGGGCTGGTATCTATGTTGTTCCGGCCCAGACCTCAGGAAACGGTGGTTCACGATGCTACTTCAGGTATTGTTTCCTATGTTTTCGTCATCAGATGAAACGGTTTATCGGGGATTCTCTTCTCCGCACAACCCCCATAAGACGGTGGTTTAAGATACTATTTTAGGTGCTATTTCCCTCTATCTTCGTCACCAATGGACATTGGTAATCGGCTCCTATTCTCCGGTCAACCTCATAAAATGGTGGTCAACAAATTCACGTTTTTGTCTTTCAGCTGCAAGATTATCCAGAATTTCGAACGCAGCCTGGAGCCCACGGTACAGTCATTGATTGAATTGAGCTCTGAGCTCGATAAACGCCTGAAGAGGCTTGCTATGATAATGAAAGCTCTGCTGATCTACGAAGTGAAATCCAATCCTGCCCAGCGGCCCTGTAGCCAGCAGCATCGCCCTTGGGCCTAGAAAGACTGTGTGAACCAAGGCGAGGTAAACCACTTGCCCTAGGTGGCTAGCAAAACCCTATAGGGGCACTGTTCAGCAGGTGTCATTGGGAATCGTACTCTAGTGAACATGGCTTATGTCCTCAACGCCCTTACTATAGTTGAGGTGGTAGAATGGCCGGAATAATGCAAATCCTAGTGGGTTAGGTGGGTGAGGATACTAAGAACCTAAGTACGGCATTACTATTCTACTACCTTAACCCTCTCCCCCGGTTACAGTCCTAAACACACTAGGGCACATTCTGCCACTTCGGCTAGGCCCTCCGGTAATAGCTGTGGAAAATGCATAAGAACCTAGAACCGGGGCTTAAGTCTGTCATGAAGCGTACTCCGTGCGGTCGCTAGCGATGCCTCAGTTACGTGTGCCGTTAGCGAAGACCGGAGAGCCTCTTAGTAGACGTCATAGCGCTTATCAACGAAGCCAAGGTCCTACCAGGCAGGGAATGGATAGTGTTCGACGTCAAGGCGTTGGGACGATGCCATCTGGGTGAGCTCGTCTCGAGCTAGTTACTGATCATACGTAGACTCAACGAATTCCTTGAGAGCGACCCGAATCTGATCTCGCGGCGGGGTAGGGACGGGGTCGATCTGATAGACTACACCGAGCATCGCAGTGTAGTTAGTGGGACTTGGCCACGTTAGAATAATGCGACCACTAGGAGCGAGGAGGTAGTCGCGAATGTTCTCAAGGAGGGGGTCTCGATAGTCAGGGCGGAGATATTCAATGACCCGGTAGATACAGATAATACTGAACTTAAAAGGGACAGGATTGGGCACATTAACCATGATCTGATCCACCTGAGCCTGCCCAGCACCAGAGTTCTGGTAACGCGCGTAGAGAACTTTGGCATTGAGTTGCGCAGACCGAATGTTGGATTTGAGCTGAAAGAGGGTCAAGATGTCAGCCTGAGTAAAGGCGATATTGTCGCGCCCTTCGTTAATAGCACCCTGGATAGCCAAGCCAAGAGATTTTAGGCTGCAATCAACCCCGACGGCATAGCGATAAGAAGCCGCGGCAAGACGCGTGACCTGGCCGGTGCCGCAGCCAAGATCAAGGACGGTGTCGGTAGGCTGTAACCCAGCCATTCTCACAAAGTATGGAATGGTGAGAAGGTGGAGGCCAAAGCCGAAGTCGTACTTGTTGGCGCCTGAGTCCCACTCTTGCACGGCTTGGTGGATAGTCATGTAATGGTCTGCGAGCGACGTATCAGGAGAAGGAGGAAGCGCCATGGTTGCTGGGCCGATTGAGAGGGAGGTGGCTGAAGATGAAGACGTTGGTGTAGACTCAAGGAGAAAGAGAAGGAGGATAGTGTTGAGAGAAGAAAAAGAGTAAAGAAGGTCAGGAGGAGGAGAGAGAGGGGCCTGTAAGGTGGTGGTGAAAGGAAAGAGGGTGAAGAGGCCACCGTAGGAAGAGATATCTGTCAGATTGAGAGTGAAGAGTGGGATGAGTTAGAGGTAAAAGTGAGGTGAGCTAGGTTGAATCTCTCTTTGCTCGATCGCTAACAGGTGAATCTCAGCCGCCAGATGTTACAGGAACGGTATGATGCCGCCGAGTCTCTCTTTGCTCGATCGCCACTACGCCAGTGATGGCCGCCGAATCTTGCAGGTTCTCTTGTCCTTGACAGCAGCAATCTCTTTCAATTCGTCATCAGCGCGCACTTGCAGAATCTCTCCAGTTTTGCAGCAGGAATCTCTCTAATGTTCGTTATGGGCGTAGGCTATACTGTCCACAACAGTGCCCAGCCTGTGCCCTCACTCGCGTAGTTTCCGTGGCAAATGGCACTTTGCAAGAGAATTCCTCCTCTTTAGATAGTTACTGGCGCCTGGTGTGTGTTGTGGTGGAAATTCTCGCGCCCATTGCGGCAAGATTCTCTTGAGTTGGTTGCGAGCGCGTGGCGGGCGTTGCAGCAGGATCTCTATTCACTTGATTGCCAGCGCGCAGTTGTAGGATTCTCTCGTTGTTGGCGGCAGTGATATCTCTTTAGTTAATTGTCTGTCTGCGCAAGCCTTTCTCCATCAACACTTGTTTGCCAGAGGATTCATTCTCTTCAACTGATTGTGAGGGCGCGCTATCCTGTGGCAAGGTGTTACTCGATCTGTGTGTCGCTAGCAGGTTCTCTTCAGTTGATCGCCAACTTACCCTATCCTGCGATGCAAAGTGCTGTTTTATCTGTGACTTGCCGGCAGATGCTCTTCAGTTGGTCACCAACTTGTGCCATCTTGTGCTGTAAGGTTGTGCCCAAATAGGCCTTGTCATCGGAGCCATCAAGAATCAATCGCCTGCGCGCCGTTCCTTACCCCAGGAACTCGCAGGAACAGTCAACGCCGCCAAAGATCTCAATAACTGATTGCCTTCCCGGCGTTCTTTGCCGCAGAAACTTGCAACGACATTCTCCCTCATCAGTATTTCCAGCAGCAAAGGCTTTGCATGGTTTTGCAAAACAAGACAAGAACAGTCCATGCTGCCAGATCCCTTTGCAATCGATCGCCTGTGCGCCATATGATGTTGCCAGATCTTGCAGGGAACAGTCTGTGTTGCCAAATCCCTCTTCGGTTGGCCATGGGCGCAGATTCTGCAGCGCATGTGGTCGATGCCAGCGCCTCAGTTGGCCATTGCGCGCTATCCTGCGCGGCAAAGGGTTGCTCAATCTGTGCTTTGCCAGGAGAGTCTCTCTGCATGCGGTCGCCAACTTGCGCAGTGCGGCCTGGCAAAATGCTGCTTCATCTGTGTTTTGCCAGGAGATTTTCTACATGCTATTGCCAACTTGCGCAATCCTGCGCGGCAAAGTGCTGCTCGATCCGTGTCTTGCCAGGAGATTGTCATCAGTCGATTGCCAACTTGCGGCGCCGTTTGCAGAACCAGTCCTGATGCTCGAGCGGGACCTGACCGTCTTGGGTCAGCAGAATGGGGTAGCGTGGCGAACGAGTCAGAAGAATGACCTGCATGGCATCCAAGGATGTTCCAAGAAGGTAATGGCGAAGAGGTGCCGTTGATGAACATGTAACGGGTGCCTGTTAAGTGCTCCGACATTCGCTCGTTGCCCGCCAGGACTTGACTTTAGGCCGCGGTTGATGTTGCTGACGTTATCTGACGTTGCTGTCGTGCCATGAGTACCAGGGTTGCTTATACATTTATTTCCCGTATAAGGAAGTCCGTTGGAACAACCTGTCATTCACGTAATGTGCAACGACAAACCCAACCGGCACAGCCACGGCTCCAAGCGGCCCTGCCAAGGCCCCGTGACACCCCAGCTTTGTAATGTAGCAAATAGCCTCGAGCAGGAACGCTTCCTCCATAGACAGCGGCTTGCACTCTTGTGCAATTGATCTGGATGACTGGGAAGGCATCAAATAAGGTGTGGGATACTGTACCAGTGGAAGGAGAAATATCTGGAGCTAAGGTCAGATTGTCGGCATTGAAGGATATTCCCGTATTAATGCTCTGTCGTTGATGAGGATCTGTCTCTCCGGGGCCCGGGCTGTCGCCAATGCTCTGTGTGGACGGTTATGCATCCATGAGGTCCTGCTTGCGCTACGCTCCTCTCTCTCTCAAGTGATCCAACTCAGCAACCCTCTGGAAGGTTTCTTTCAGGATGGGATGTAGGCATGGTACTGTAACGCGTAGTCTAATAACACACTCTTGACCATGTGGCAGGCGGCATCGCGGCTGTAATTTCGGATGCTAGCCACTTCCGTGAAATGGTACCTAAGGCGATCATCTGTATGTCGTTCGGCGCGATGCATTCTCAACACCATGTCTTCGTTGTTCAGAACTATGCTGACATCCGAACATCTTTGAAAAATTTCTCGAGGAGCTGGGGAATTTGGCACATCCAGTACCGTGATGCTGTGAGTACGCGTCAAGAGCTATTACTTTTAGAGGAATTCTCACATAAAGTCATGGCCGGATTATGCTGCATTAGAACCTCCCAGAGAGGTAGTGGGCAGTGCTTCTTCCGTTGCCTTCGACTGTCGAATTTCATGGTTGAGAGCAGGAACCATGGACTATCATTTTCGAGGGAGCGTGAAGCGGAGGAGGTTACTTCCACCATCTCTGAGCCACCCTTTCTGTAGGCTTGCACAAGAATCGCCTGAAATTGAGGCAATCTTCACAACACTTCTATCTTTGCACATTGAGACATGTGGTGTTTCTCCCGCTTCTCAAATACAGTAATACCTTTGCTGAGTTCCCCTCCGGTGCTGCATGATCTTAGACCAAAACAACCTCCCAAAATATGGTACCTCGTAATACTAGATTCTTGACCTCTCTGTCAGTTCTCATCGCCTTATATGTCGCTTTTCCTGGACATGGGCCTCGTTATCTAAACAGGTACGACGCTATTTGGCCTCAGCACAACACTCACATCACCGTGATGCAAGGGGACTTTGATCTAACCAAACCACGGCTAGTATTACTTCGGTCAACACTACCTCTAAGGGGAAGGAGTTAACGGACTCTGATGCATTTCGCATTTGGTTCGTCAACAACCTCGGAGACGTCAACCTTGTCAACGTATATATCACAGGAAGTGATCCGAACAATAACCCAGTTGTCTTACAGTCTAACGGACAATGGTACTATGCAACAACCGATGGCTCTTCTGTTCCGACGGTGATCCCATCAGATCTCATCACAATTCCCCTTCAAACTGGCAATCAGACAACAGACATTACGCTTCCGACCGATATCACCGCTGGAAGGGTTTGGGTCGCTGAAGGAGACCTTACTTTTGCTTGTATTAAGAGCGCTGCCGGGGGTGTGTCGTTAGTCGAGCCATCTGCTACCGATAACTCCAACACAGACACACAATGGGGATTTGTAGAATTCACATACTCTAAGGCTGGTGGTATATGGGTTGATATTAGCAACGTTGACTTCGTCGGGCTGGCCCTGGGCATATCGTTGAAAAGTTCAGATAACGAGAATGGTTGGTCCACGTCACAGCTGGGAGGCTTGCAAGGAGGCGCGATACAGGGGATCTGCGATGGTCTTGGAATTCAAAGCTCGATCGACGGTTACCCTTGGAGAGATCTCTGTATCCAAGGCTCCCAAGACAACTTTGTTCGTGTGCTCTCTCCGAACAGCTACATCCAACTGCAGACTAACGCATTCTCCGACTACTGGACCTGCCATGTGGATGAAGTCTGGTCGAGATATTCTGTCGAAACGCTAGTCATCAACACTCAGTCCAGCGAGCTGGGCAACATCTCCTGCATGGTTGAGGACGACTTGCTTGTTTGCTTGAATGATATCGGCACCGGAGACAGCGCCAGTTTGACTAGGCCGTCTTCAAAGGATATCTTCAGCTGCAGCACTGGTCCTTTCGCCATCTCCCCATCTACTAGCGACCTACTCAAATCAATTATTCCTCGTCTTTGTGCGGCATTTAACCGTTCGACACTCCTCGCAGATAATGGAAACATGCAGCCTGACGGTCCTAGGTCCTCGTCCTACTATTTAGGAAGCAACACAACAAATTGGTATAGTAAGCTAGTACACCAATTCGAAGTGGGTGGCCGAGGTTACGCATTCCCTTACGACGATGTTACATCCGAGATTGACCTCAGTGAGAACCAGAGTCCATCAGGTCTGCTATTTTCAAGGACACCACAAAGTTTGACGATACTGGTCGGTGGAGGGTCGGCAATTTAGTTGTTGAGACTGGTACAAAACGACGAATGGCAGTCTTCACAGTGCTGTTTGATCAGGGCCAAAAGCAATGTGCTCTCAAGCAAACCTTTGGCGACGCGTTCAGCAGGGAGGTGAATAAGGGTCTTCAGCAGCCAATGAATACCAGAGATCTTGGAGTTTGGGTGGTTTCCCCTGGCTACCTAAGGTGTTGAGTTGAGCAAGAAGAAACTCACCAGCTTAAGCCAGCAATATAATCGCGTTCTCAGGTGTAATGCTGAAAAAATCCATTCCATCGACCTAGTGGTGACGTTTTGATGGAAGGCGATTCTCTGAGGAACAGTGATATCACGCACGGCACGGAAGCCAAATGGAGTTTCGCAGCCTTTCACGTACTAGGTGTCTCCGATTTGCCAATGATACGCAGAGTGCTTCGTAGAGGAGAACGAGAAGCGGATGATAGAAGATTCTCTTTCGTCATCTCTCTAGCCTACGAAATCCTCTCCTCTACTCTTCCTCGGGTGTACGTAGGACTTAGTGCTCGTTTGGCAATTTGATGGTGGCTTCTCGATCAGGCCTGAATCCATTAATTTCCAAGGATCGAAAAGTTTCCGCAGTGGGAACATGTCCCTTTCAGCCTCTGGGAGTCCAGATAGGAGGAGTCAGCAATAGCAGGAATGAGTGGTCCCAAGTTCCATCAAGAATGTCTGATGCATGACAAGCAAAATCTCATGAACTCGTGGGTAGAGCACATGATCAAGGCAGTCAATAACGCAGAGCATTATACATGTATTTGTTGCCATCACTTGTCCTCATTGCTTCCGCGATTCATCCGCCACCATTGTCTTTCCCAAAGCGCTTTCCTCGATTGGAACGACAAGTCTGTCTTTTAGCTGCTGAGACTCCTCGCACCATTTGTTAACGATATCCCTCACGACCTTTAACCAAGCGTCAAGTGTCTCGGTATCAAGCCAAGCCTGTGTTAGGCATGGATGATCCAGTTGAGATTGCAGGAAGAATGCTTTGCGCCGCCAGTCAGGCATGGCTTCATTGTCAAAGTAGAAAATTTCAGCTTTTACTCTCCTTGACGCGTTGAACTTGGCATATTTGGCGATGATTGCATGATTGGGCCCAGGCCCAACCTGCAGAGTGGCCCACTCCTGGTACAATGTTCTCTGTCTTTTCAGTGATGCAAGTGCAATGGAAGTAGACACATAAACCGCCTGATAGGAATGTCTTAACTCTGTGTGCAAGGTATTCTCGCAGAGTGATGGCTTTATGATAACTTCACCCAGGTCATCTAAGTTGTGTTGGTGAGGCGGCTCTAAGAAATGCTGGTAGATGAAATCCATGATCCTTACGCCCCTGTGAAGCCATTGAAGTATATTACTAGTTTAGGACTTGTCCAATATCAGAAGGAGCCATGCCGATTCGGTGGGTCTTTTTGACACTTTCTGCTACAGAATTCGAGGGGTCTCGGAAGCATGCAGTACGTGTACCTAATAATCTTTCTGGTGTAAAGCAGTACCTTACATAATGATGGTTGACCATCCTGTTTCACCACCATTTCGTTTGTCTTCGCCGTCATTGTACCTAACAGGGACCATCAACGTGTCTCTCTGGTCAACCGCTCCATGATCCTTTGTCATCAGCTACCGCACAGTGCTATAATACGGGCGACCAATAATATGAACTGAAATAGACAGGGAAATAGAGCTCGATAGATCATGTATACAGCAGTTATGTTACAGTCTGACCCGAAACTACCCTCCCCCTTGCTAATATGTAAGATTCTATCCTCTAATCTGAGCATGACTAAGCGACAGATCCGTGTTATTGTTTTCCTAGTACCACACCAATACTGTACCGAAAAGCAGTTCGGCAATGAAACTACACGCCTCGCTCCGGCAGTTCCGTACTCCGCACACCACGGATTAGCGAGGTCGGAATGCGCCGCCTAGCCTTCGAAAGCTGTGGGCACATACCCTCCTGGCCCTTCCACAACCTTAGATGGCCTTTCACTGCCTTCGAGCCTTTGTAATCTACACTCTAGAGCCTTACAGCGCTCGGCCTGAATGACTAGGCGCCGTCTTTGCCGCGCTCTCCGTCGAACTAACCGCCTAATGGTAATACTGGACGAAAGGCACGAAGGCCTCAAGTAGGATGATCACGACGATAATTCCTACGAGCTTGGGCGCACAGGGAAACACAATGTTGCTATCGCCTGTCTGCCAGCAGGCATGTTTGGCAGCAACGTTGCAGCAACATCTGCATATCCGGCGGCTGCTCGGTAGTGCCGGGACCAAAAAAGGTGGCAAACGCAAGGCCAACACTTAAGCTACCCGATATAGAGCCTCCTAGACAGGCTCACTTAGACGAGAGCAGAGTCGAAATTGATTACGTCCTGGATACGAGCAAAACAATGTACGTGACTAGCCCATTTACGGTAGTACACCTCCGGGTAATGATACGTACGTCCTACGATAGTGCGTCTCCGGGTATAGCCCGTAATTTACTGGCTTAAGTAGTTGACGTGTCCGTAGATTCATTCTTCGCTTCGATATTAACTCTATGATGGCAGTTAGCTGAAACCGATTACGGCCTCAAGTAGTCTGAATTTTTGCTAGTATAATGCCGCCCGGCGGCGTTATGGCGCATACTACAATGGGTTCACTGACGTCTCGGCCTAGGTCGGCGACATGAGTAGAATGGGGGATACATGTTATGATAACTACGAAAATTTGGATGAGGAAGGAACGAAGTTGGCGGAGTATAGTGGAGAAGAGTAGAGAATCCCATTTACCCTAAGATCTCTAGCGTAGGATATGCTACTCATCATCTTAAAGCTCATCGTCGGCATATTGAATATGCTGCAGCGAATTTTCTGGCGATATAGCGTAATCTTTCGCCTTTTCATCAGAATCAAAAGCATCACAGCGATACACGAGGATGCGAAAGTCTTTCTTGTCGTCTGACATAATCCGTGCGATTTTCCATTCCCCATGTCCGGCGCTCTGTATATGTTGAGGAAAGCTGTTGATATACCCCTCGATAATGAAACGGGCGTACTGTAAACCCCCCCCCCACTAGGCATGGGACATTGAATAATTGTATTATTGTTCGTTTGGATAGGTAGAGGGTGTCCCTGTTGCATTTTTGCGAGGCCGAGGAAATGCCGCTTGATAGTCGCTTCTATGGTGTTTATATGCTGATCTTGGGAAGAAGCCATAGCTATGAGTCGATTAGCGTGAGTAGTATGACAGCGATAAGAGTGTTGTGGCCGATTAAAGAGATATCGTAGAAGAGACTGTCAAGATACGACCGAAAGCAACTTTAATTAATGCGGCCGCGTTACACGAGAAGTTCTTCTCGGGCAGTATGTCAGTAGGCATCCTTCGGATCTGAAAGCTGCCTGCTGAATTGATCACATCCATCGTGGCGCATCTTGATTCGTCGCTACAAAATGAGGGGTTGATAAGCCTGCAGACCACCAAGCCGACCGGATACAGAAATTCTATTGGCTTGTCCACGCTTATCCACCCCTTCTAAACAATTGCTGGTCATCCAACATTCATCTTTAACTAGGACCTCGATGGCCTTGATTACCTCCCTAGCCCTGTGGTTGACGGTATCGCCGAATAGTTGTGCGCATATAGATAGAGGACGGTAAGACCATCTACCTCCTATAGTATAAGGTTGCAGTAAAGTCTTACAGTCTTAAAGCGCTCGAGGTTCGCACATAATCGGCAACTCCCCAGCGAAGCTGATTAAGGTATCACCCTGAGGTACCAAGATGCGTTGTCCCGCACGTGGCTTTCCTTGCAATGCCTCTCCGTCCGGGTAGTGGCACGTAATTAGTAGCTTGCTGAAGTTAGTTTTTCGGCCAGCAATTGGTACGGGCGAGTCGGTGACGGAGAGCGACAGTGATTATGCGACCACGATCCTTGCACCTCATACACCTCAGTTTCACGGTTGCCTGGACGAAAGCCCGTACAAATCCCTATCGCAACTTGTTGGGGAGCTGGCATGGCTGGGAAAGCCGCAGATGGCCGACCACCGTGTCAAACCCCTCCCAGTTCGAGCTCTTTCGTTAGCGCCTAAAAGTTCCTTGCGGCAGAGGTACATAGGCTAGGCTTTGCAGGTCTGGATGAAGCCTACGACCGGTCAGGCAACGGGAAGGTTATGGCTAGAGCCAGCCTCAACCGATTTAAGGCTGTGTGATGTGCCACTCACTCTTACGAGGACGATCCGAGGCTCGAGTCTGCCTCGACCTACGCCCTCTCATTGTACCATCCGCCGAGAACCTCTACATTAGTGGGCGAGAAGAATTCAACGGCCTCATCGAAGGTCATAATGACCTCTGGGTCAAAGCGATCCCTTTCTATGAACCACGTCCACAGCCGGACCATACGTACGGCTTCAAGTGGTCCAACTTTACGGAAATACAACGGAGGAAGCTCAATTCGAACCCACCGAGAAATCGTACTACACCGCACGGGAAGATATCTATTTCCCCTTCCTGACCAGCGAAGTCAAGTGCGGCAAACAAGGGCTCGATTTGGCCGATCGACCTAACGCTCACAGCATGACTATCGCGCTCCGAGGTATTGTGGACCTTTACCGTAGAGCGAATCGTTCATCCGACATCCACCGGAAGGCTCTTGGATTTTTGATTTCACATGACGATAACAGTGCACATCTCTACGTCCATTATCCCGAAATTGATGGTGGTAATACGGTTTACTGGCGCGACACAATCAAGAAACTCAACGTTGCAGACGGAAAAGGAAAAGAAAAATGGAAATGTTACCAATTTACACTCAATGTCTGTCAATACTTTGCCCTACCACTGCTTGAGCAGCTCAAGACCGTCATCGATCAGCTGCCAGATCCTGATACCCAGACGCTTGAGCCAAGTGCAAGTTTTGACGACGAGTGCACTGAGTTCGCAAGACGATGCCAGTACTCCTGAGTCTCAGGACGAAATCTTCAGAAAGCCCCGTAAATCTAGTGGGTTACATGCAGAGTTACAGACCATGATTCAAAACCTGCAACGAGCCGTTGGAACAACAGAGGAAAGATTCAATGACACAACTGGAACAATTGCGGAGAGACTCTGAGCAACAGCAAAAATAGAGTATGAACCACTCCTCTCGTAATCTAAGCTCTTGCTAACCTGTAGTCGTCACGACCGCAATCAGGTGTCTGGTTGACAGGGCCGATAGCACTGAGCACTCGGCACGAGTTTTGTCGTTCCGGGGAAGAGCACAATAGAGATCCTTGTACTCGGTGATAGTATTGAGACAGTGCACTCTCTATGGACTAACAGGCCTACATTTCGACCAGAGCTTTCTTGCAAATATGGTGACAGAATAGAAGTAAGGGCTCCGGTAAATCATCGGTAAGCCTTAGGTGTCACGTGCCATAACTACGCCGGCGTAGTTATGGCACGTGCATGACATTTTGGACAGGGACACTGTTTTCCTTCTCCCCAAAACCCATTGCCGTAATTGATCGTGAGTTCTTCTGCATCACGAACGTCTCGTGTAGCGACAACGGAGACCCGATACCTTCCTGACACCCTCTGACCCTGGAGTTTGGCTGTTGGTACGCAGTCATGATTCATATAACCGTAGATATTGCTTCTCTCACCGCAGTTGATCTGGGCGACCTCCGGGTGCTCGTCGAGATCTTCCCTAAACATCGCATAACACTTCCCGTTTTTGTACGTATCGGGAGGCACTAATTTGCCTGTCAAATACCCTAGATGTGTACCCTTGAGATAGGCAATATGACCGGCTTCCTTTGCAACAGCTTGCAGACCTCGACCTTTGTCCGGGTATATTCGGATACGGGGCAGTATCTCAGGGCGACGATTGACGCAGTCGCACTTGCTCTCATCACATAAGTCGCACTGCCTTTCGCTGGGAGGGATATATGTAGGGTCAACCGGCCAAGGATAGTCCTCCGGCCAATACTTTGGTCTCCGCCAATTCGGGTACTCATTCTCCAGGAACTCATTCTCGTCGATTGTTGGAACGGGTTCCAAATAGAAAAATAGATCTTCCACTGAGACCTTATCCAGCGACACACTCTCCCCAGCAAACTCGACGTCGTCCGCAGTGAGGTTGAGTGAAGCCTCAAACTTCTGCCCGGCAGAGCAGAGAGCAGAGATCTGTTTCGTGTCGAGGTGACGACGTAAAGAGTCAAAATCGGTGTCTTTGAGAAGGACCCAATCCGTCGAAGAAAACTCAAATGCTTGTGTCTGAAAGAGGAGAAAGGCCAGAATCCCGGGAAACATTTCGGAGTACGTTCGCCACTTCGCGCCCCTCTCTCGATGGTGGTAGAACTGACGTGGGTCCATTTCCCTACCCTGAAGGATCTTTTGAATACCGCCTTTCGGAATCCTCTCGCGGCTTTGCCCAGTTTCCTTTTCGCGGCTTCGCTTCACCTCCTCGGCATGTTGAGCAAGACGGGCTTGATATAGTCGGATAAGGAAGTCGTGAAAGGCGCCCTTTTTGGAGAACACATTGATAGCCGCTATGTCATTCTGGAGCATCTGAGTCGGATTATGGCTTCGCGACACGTCTTTCCCGGGATACATTCGCAACGCCGTAGGTTCAAGATCCCGACGACCGCGGACAATCTCGAAAAATTGCTTGATGGCGGCTCTGCTGCAGATGGCTTTCGCCATTTGAGAGATCGGAGCATACCAGATATTGTGATTAGCGATCATCATCGTGTCGGCTGAACTCTGCGTACTCCGAGACCTTTTCCCACTCGCCATCCGCGTGGGTGACTGGTCTCTACGCCTCTTCCGAAGGCTCCTAGCCACTAAGTGGCCTATATTCACTGCTTCTCCGGCCTGACTAGGACCGTTTCTAACTTGACGCTGACGTCTTCCAGACACCGGTAAGTCGTGCGCTTCTGGTGCACTTTCAGCCTCTTGCTCGCGCTGTGGTTCACTTGGATCGCGGAACTCCAAAAAGGTACTGGGAATAGGGAATCCGTCGCAATTTGGGCTACATGCGGAGTAACCTTCGATGCTCCAGTTGGGGCTGCCATAGTTGACGGCCTCGGCAACGGTAGGGCCAACGGTACCACCTTGGTGGTAGCTATCTCCCCACACCACGACCACCTCTCGCGTACGTTGGACAAAGGTGACAAAGGAAGCACCCATGGCTTTGAGCTTGGACCGCGGAATCCAGCGGGAAGCGTGACGTACTTTCTGCGCACATTTCCCCTGTTTCACTTCGTTTTCGATGAGGGAGCCATCTTTCCGAGCCACCACATACCAGAGTTTCTCCCGTCCACAGTGTAGGGCATTCAAAGATGGTAGGTTCCCGTCCTCATGATGTATGACGAAGAGCGATCCGTCATCACTCGATACGTATCCATACGGCCAATGGAGCCCGGGCACGCTGTACTTGGTGCGATCCAACAGATTGTCCTTCAGAGGCCAGATGGGGGACTCTGCCGGTAAACTCAGCAGTCGCCGATCTTCGGCAGTCCGAGCCGGCAGATCCGTACAGTATCGTATCTTGCTCATCGCCTCAGGATCGGTAAGGCGACGTTCCACCATCTCGGCGAGTTCGTCGGGCTCCATAGGTGCGAAAGTGGCATTGCTGATATGCAACGTTCCGGGATCCTCAGTCCGCGAAATACGAAAGATGTTGTCCGGCCCGAGACGAGACTCGAAACTAGATATGCGCGTCGTAATGCTAGATACAGCGTGTGTACCTGGTTCAAAATCGTCGGGTAGTACGTACTTAAAGACTCCCGTTTCGCGCGCCCCCAGTGCCTCGGCCTGAGAGAAAAGAAACGGCGTATCGCGACACTGATCCATGTTTAAGGGCATCAACACAATGACGCCGTGCTCCTTGCGGTGAGGGATAGTGATGTCATAATTGCGAGGAGTTTGAGAAAGGGCGGGCGTAGAGTAGTCGGGCTGAGAAGGAGTAGAGGTAACGGGAGGGCGTGAACAATGTGGGACTGCCACACTCGCTGCAGCATCTTCTCTGGGCCATGAAACTTCGGCGCTTTGGTCAGCAGTGGTAAGGCCGGCGCGAAAATGATCAGGAATAGTCAAGTGCGCGTGATTCTCGTCCGTGGCCGACTCGCTAAGCTGTGATGTAGACTTTGTCTGATGGTCGGCCTTAGCGCTGGGATCTACCGCAATCGATTCACCATTTTGAGGCCCCTGTTGAGTGTCTGAAGGGTTCTGGTCTACTTGCAGCCTTTCATGTGGCGATTGAGCTGATGTGGGTAGTCGAGCTTCCAGAGTAGCGTTGTGGTCACCAGCCCCGGCAATTCCGTTCTGACTCGTAGCAATGACTGAGCCTTCCACCTTTTCTTTGAGATTTTGGACACTTGTTGCCAGCTCACTGATCATGGACCGGATCTCAGTCCAGTACGATTGACGTCGCTTGCGCGGTTTGGATGGGCGCCTGCCAGAAGACGCATGAGTGTCCACTAGAATCACAAGCTTCTTAAGCACTTCTTCCATGCCTTGGATTTTCAGCGCGACATCCGACATGATGCAAGAATGATTGAAGATTTCTCGTTCACGGGAGTGAAAGCGCTGTTGAAAGAGTTAATGTGGTCTTTTGTCGCGCGTGATTTCCGATCCCTTGGCGCGGGGCCAGCCGAGTCTATTCCCATTTTAGACATATGTCAACAGACAAAGGAATGCCTCTCAATTCGACAATTCCCATAAACGCCTTCTTGACCTGTAACGCGGCCATTGAGCTCCACCGGCTCTCTTCCTGTTGCCATACCGCATATACACTGTTGTGCATTAACCCCCTCAACATAGGCTCGTAAATCGCAACTCGCTTCTGCAGCAGTACTGAGCTAGGGGAAAGAGGAGGGCTGCTGGTTCCACGAGACTACTATGTCGCGCAGTATTCACATACAGATGTTACCTACGACGCTCTGAGTCGGATCAAAAACATCGCGTCAGCATCGGCGAGACGGAGGTCCCCATACCACCCTACGAGATCACAAACCCAATCCTGAAGTCATCCCTGCAGTTGTCCAGAAAGCTATTTGGCCTTTGCGCCGCTAATTCCTGACCGCACCCTTATACGATGGAAGAGATCCACGATACCACCCACAACGAAACTTATTACGGCTCCTCATGAGGTGGACCACAAAGCCGAGCGCTAAGGCTCTTGATCAAAGGAATCGATATTGTGCACGGCCAGATTGGCGGCGGCAGAGGAAAGCTGAAGAATCTATCGACTTGGATCGAATGATACGGGCCAGAGAGCGGACGTCATGAAACCATCAGGATCCAGCTGCCGTTGGCACCAGAATGGTGCAAAAGAGACCATTTGAAATCACTCGACCATCAGCGCATGTACAATGCCAAGACCAGGGACTTCTCCTATGGAAAGAATAGGGCTTTTTCGACACAATAAATCACTTATTGGCACTAAGTGAATCATGGGTTGAGAAGATGGTCCTGGTTAAAAGCGTTTACGGAAGCCCAAGTAAGCTTTGAGCTCCTTTTCACTAGCAATATTGCGCTGAGACAGAGATATGCCGGAACACAAGAGCACAAGATGCATGCCGCGGTTCCGCAAAGGGAGGGCGAAGGTCAGTAATGAAATGTATATGCGGATTCACGTTTGCGTTGATTGATTGACAGTGCAGCGGCACAGAGATGACGACCTGCAAAGCGCGCATAGACCGTAAGGTTCAATGTCAGAACAGACTTCATCCGACCATCAGTCTCCACAATACCTCACATTTTAGGCCTGTCGATTACGACTCCTGGATCGGGATTCACCGACAACCACGATAGTACTAACATTCTCTCAGACGCAGATCCGGTTGGCAAACATACGAGAAAGGCCAGCTAAGTTCAAAGCATGTTGCATGAGTCGCAATGAAGTAGAGAGGGCTTCCGTCAGGGCCATCCTGAATCCGTGGTCATCATAAAGTAAAGGCGCCCCTCGATCATGCTGGTGATGGTCTGCGGTGAGCGGAGCCACCCTGAGAACACCGCAAGTTCTGGAGGAACCTGTTCCGGGTTGGGTCGGTCCTCCAAATCTGTCAAACATCGTCCCCCGCATGTTGTGGGAGCTTCTATATATATTTTGTGACTGTTGCATATTTACCATGAGTTCGATGTCGATCGTCCACTAATAGCGGCCCGGTACTCCTCTTATTGCTGACTCTGCCGACTGCTCATCTCACGACACGTTTATGCTCTAGCAAGCCTTCTTTAGTCGCTATAGATGATGATCAGCTTGCACCTCTTTAAAGATTTATGCCTCAGGAACCTCATCATCCACTCACTGGAGGCATCCATTATAGAGACGTTCGATAAGATCGGGTATCTCTCAGAGTCCTGCCAAAAACACGATTTACGAAATCATCCTCACGCCGATGCTTGCCCATGTCAGGCGGAACTTTTCTTCAAGTTAGATCGGCTCGACGAGTCCATCCACAGGTTGAAAGATCTAAGGCATTTCGTCGTCCGCTGGTGGATATGGTACATTCGATCTTCAACCAAGAATCCTTTCTTTCCGAAAGAAAGTATTCGAGTTTGGTCCCAAACAGGCCAACCCATTGCGGCTTGGCAGAAATACTCCATCGCCCAGAGGAACGGCGAAGTTGGACCGAGAAACCGGAGAGCCTTTATCTATTATAAGGACTCACGCGAGATATCTACCAGACCCGCCGCTGCCACCAATAGCGAGTAGTTTATGTCGACACTTCAGACGACCCGAGCTCCGGTATAACAACGCTTTGCTACGTCCAAGAGCTTAGCAACCTTGCACCTTGCGGGGTGGCTAACAGCCGGCCGAGCTTTGCTCCAGCAATGCCTTCCAATGATACGACTTAAGCTACAGTATTACTCAGATTTGATTTGGCAATCTGTCACACGATATGGGATGTTAATGAAGCCCGGTCTTGGAAAAATCAATTTCTAGCATTTATGGCAAGATGATGCCTAGAGGAGCATTTTGAATTGTGTAGAGAGCTGATCTCAGTGACCATCAATAGATATCGGGATATCATTGGATTTACTGCGGAATAACACGACTGAACTCCCAGGGGAAGGTGGACGACGTCGATGGCTCATCTCTCTGCTACGAAACTCATGGACAATACGAACCAGAACATTTTGATAAACTGGCTCATGTCGCCTTGTAGGCTGGCTAGTTTTGTCCTGCATCTGCACGTTTAGTTGTAGATTCAGTCTTCGCTGGCCCAGAGCAGCACTGTAGTGAATAGCGAGTGACCTCAGCAGCTGAACTTAACAAGGCGGTGGCGTACAGTTACCAGTTCCCTCCTCAAAAGTCACAATGATCAGATATTGCCTTCTGGACCTTGAAAAGTAATGGGTTATGATGCTATTTTTGCACACCCTGTTGATTTCAGTACTTCTTAGCGATATTATGGGTTTCCTTAATAACCACACCCACACAGACCAGCAGTACCGATTAGAGTTGACGTAACATCACGACAAAATCTGATAACAATTGGATTGCTGATATGGTGGAGGTGAAGCCTCCATCGTGCACAAGAACTCGTAAACAGCCATGACGCAGACAGAGTGGCCGTTGATTGCAAGTTCGCCGAAGTGGGAACTTGTAGTTAAATGTTGCAGACGGTGCGCTTATAGGTGACGGGAAACCGTAGAAGTGCTACCCTGGCGTGTAAAAAGCGGACGGTTTCCGGGACTTCAGGTTTTCGAACCAATCCTATCCGATCTCCTCAGTCGGTTAGAGAGTTTTACTTCCTCCAAGAAGCCTACGGAATGGATGACCTGTTCAATCGTCGTATCCTGGAGACCCTTGGTCTTCAATTGACCGTGAATCTCATCGTTGGTTCCAGCTCGCAGTTTCCAGGCGTGAGCTAGCTGAAGTGCCACATCACTCAAGGCAAATTGAGCTCCTTCTTGTGCTTGATTCAATGCTTGAATGGTATCGTTCAGTCTTTGATTTTCATGTTGGAAGCTGGCTAAGGTCGAGAATAGCTTGACCTTTTCTGTCTCAAGTAATTGGATCCTTTGCACGAGCTCATTTGTCGTGCTTGGTTGTTGCGCCAGTATGCCGCCGATTTTCTGTTCTAGCGAAGCGAACAGATCGTGCGACACCTGAGAATTATGATGGAGAAGAGCCGCTTGATCGGCACGGTGTTGGCGAATGCTGTCAAGAATCTGTTGAGCAGCAGCGTTCGATTTCGTCATGATGTCGGGCAAAAAGGTCGCTGATGAAAGGATTTCTGGCCTGAAAGAGGATCGCTAAACTTGGCTTTGGGCCTTTCAAATAGCTCCAAATCATTGATCGAGTCCTGGGGGGCACCTCGGTACCACGGTACTCCGTGGCGGCGCGTAATTCGATGCAGACTTCCCACAGTTCGCGTGGCATCATACACTTTCCTGGGGCCGCGCATTACCAGATGAGCCACGTCGAAAGCCAGGCTCGATATGATTGCATTGTCGTTATTTCGCAGCCATCATTATGTACCATTAGTGCGCAATTGCATAAGGCGCTTGGGGGTGGCCTATTCGACCTCTTAAAAGATCCGAGTCGCGCTCAGGGACTACCCTTGCTGGAAATGGATACTCAGGATATTATGACACGTCCCGATTGTGATCAAAAACGGATTGATGAATTTGGAGGTCACCAGAACATTCCGGACACTCGTGTAGCCTAGAAATCCTGTAACGTAACTGCTGTATACATGATCTACCGAGCTCTATTTTCCCTGTCTATTTCAGTTCATATTATTGGTCGCCCGTATTATAGCACTGTGCGGTAGCTGATAACAAAGGATCATGGAGCAGTTGACCAGAGAGACACGTTGATGGTCCCTGTTAGGTACAATGACGGCGAAGACAAACGAAATGGTGGTGAAACAGGATGGTCAACCATCATTATGTAAGGTACTGCTTTACACCAGAAAGATTATTAGGTACACGTACTACATGCTTCCGAGACCCCTCGAATTCTGTAGCAGAAAGTGTCAAAAAGACCCACCGAATCGGCATGGCTCCTTCTGATATTGGACAAGTCCTAAACTAGTAATATACTTCAATGGCTTCACAGGGGCGTAAGGATCATGGATTTCATCTACCAGCATTTCTTAGAGCCGCCTCACCAACACAACTTAGATGACCTGGGTGAAGTTATCATAAGAGCAAAACTGGTCGAGTTTCGATATCCCGGTAATAAATCCCGCACGAGAGTGCGTCCTTCCCCGGTGGCTGTGACCAGTAGGCCCTGGCTGGAAGCGAGCGATAGGTGTCGAAGTCTCTATCATGATTGGTGTGAGTCCATGGCTGCTGATACGGTGCGGTCCTCTCGGTCACTCCTGTGGCCTGGTTGGTACCCCAGAGCTTCTATTGGCACTCGGACCTAACAACATTTTCAAGTGTTTATCAATGGACCTTGAGCCGACTTGAGGCGGTATGTCTGGTGTTTACGTCGGAGTCAACACGATATGCAGATTTCTTCGCAGCCGAGACTGCTTCGAGATTGGCTCATGAAGTGGAATGCTGCAGACGATTAACTTACAGTAG